ACTTTGCTTGTTTGCAGAACCTGAGCCTCTGGCAGGTTAACTTTGCTAGATTTTGAATGGCTTAACAGATGCTCTTTCTGACAGGCCAGTTCTGACTTTCCACCACTCCCCTGTGGCACTGAAGGTTTAGGAGATCCCATATCACTGCTGGTGCTCTGTCCTTCTGGCAGTACACATAAAGGTAACTCAGTCTTCGAAGCCTGTGGTCCAGAAAGCAAAGCAATGTCTAGTGTGCCTTCTATTGGCTTCAAACAGGAAACAGACCTCCCGTCAAGTTTATATTCTGATGGACTTTTCCTGACTGGTGACTCAGCAGAAATCACAGATGATTTTTCCATACTTGTTTCTGTTCGACTGTTCAATGTTTTCAGGGGAACAAAAGAAACTGAGCTCATCTGAGAAGCATGTGCACTGCTAATGAATGCTCTACCTTCAGCAACTGTAGTGGAATCCTGCTGAATGCTTATGGGCCTGACTGCATTAAGTTGAAGGCTTTCATGAACATTCGATGTCAGTTTGGGTTTTAGCACTGGGCAGACACTCTCATCTTTTTCTTCAAAAGACATTTTCTTTCTAAGATAATCAATATTTGCAAGTTTACCATCTAATCTTTCATATTTGACAAATTCTTTTGTTGGAACATTTTTATCTGTGTTTTCTCCCTTTCCATTTAGCATCCTGTCAGAGGATTGAGGTGGCATATCTTGCAGTGTACATGGAGGGGAAATCCTTTTGAACTCATAAGAAATATGACTGACTTCATTAAGTGGAGACCCATGACACAGCATCTGTGTATCTAAAGCACTACAGTCGTTTGATCTCAAGTTTGCATTCTTTTGAAGAGTGTCTTTGAGTATGCCTCCAGCTGGTTGGGTCTCTAAAGCAACAATTTTTGTTTCAAATGGATTTGATCTTTCTAATACCTTTTGGAATGCTTTTTTGTCCCTTTCTTCCAATCTTATGGTATTGGGATTTTCTGGTTCAGTGCTAGGTTCATGTATAGCAGCATTCACTTTTTCAGCAAAATCTTGTTTTTTCATAACTATCTTCACCTTCAGCTTTTCTCTGTCTAATTCATCAATGGATTCTTGCCTACCTAGTTTTCGGGAGATGGGACGCTTCAAGCAGCCTTGCTCTGCAGGTCTGACTCGTGTGAGTGATGGCACATCACATACATTCTCCTCCAAGCTCTGAAGAGTTACTTCCCTCTGGGACAATTCTCTATTCACTTCTTCCTGAGTCACTTCAAGACTATGTTTTCGTGAACACAAGTGTTTCTTATCACTAGCATAAGAGGGTGCAAGTTTCTCTTCTGACTGGACTCTCTTTAAGAGAGGAGATCGTGGTGGTTCTGCACTTTTTGGCCTAACAATATGTCTTACAATAGTTGGAGGGGAGTGCATCTTGCTAGGAAAAGACTGAGCTATTTTTGTATTCCCAATTGAATGCCCTAGCAATGGTGATGGAGATCTCTGAGGTGATGTGGGCTGTGGTGTTGGGGAAGGTGTTCTTGCCAGAGGAGATAGAGGAATGCTGCCAGCTGATTTGCGTCTTCCAGATCTGTATCTTTGCCCGCTAAGCTTTGGGGCCAAGCCATGAAGAGTGCTGGGTCTTATGTGTCCTGACCCAGCTGGAGAATTGGGAGCACTTGAACTAGGGGAGCTACTCTGGGAAGAATTAGTACCTACAAAAAGAACAAGCAAACAAAATAAACATAAGATTAGCAAGATTAACTGAATACTGACCAACAGCAAAGAAATAAGCAGTGTGTGCACTGATTCTAAAAGAATATGTGATGTCTGTTTCTACAGTGTTCCAAGATTTGGTAGACAGTGAGTCACTGAACTTCAAAAACCTCATTATTTCAGGATGTTGGTGTTTCTCCTTCCTCCCCTCTGTTTCCTTTACTTCAAGTTCTTGCCTACATCTATTCAAGAAGAACAGATAAATGCTTTCTGGCACTTCAAAGCAATGATCAGGGTGTTCCAAATAATTTACCTTCTGCAAGAGATTGTACAACAGTGTTTCTGTTTTCAGTAGACACTGAAATCATGATATGAAAAAGAGGCAGATGAGGCCTCTTTTTTTCCATATTTCAGCACCCAGTTCATCTTTTCAACAAGTTGCATTCGCATTCACATAAGAGTCCATGCTAGTTCCATTCTTTTACCAACATTCTTTTACCAGCCTCTCCTAGACAAGATTTTACTTTTAACTCAAAGCTGGATTGGTTATTACAGAACTTGAAGCCACTGGACTTAAATCTTCTCTCAGACAAACCTCACAGACATTTTCATTTTAGGTACTTTTGTATTATACGAACACCTTTGGTTTCGCAGTAGAAACCTTTTCTCTTGTTTAGATAGAAACCAGCTGTTCGGTGATTGTTTGTCTAAACTTACTGCTCTCAGCAAAGCATAACAGATTTGGGGGCCTCACAAGAACCAGAATACACTTCAATTTCAAGTCACTCAATCCTCTGTTCTTTCACACTCACCAGATGGAAAATCAGGAGTGGAACGGTAGCTTGGGGTAGGTGACCTTGGAGACAAGCTGTGAGTTGGAGATCCAGGTAAGCTCTCTCCTGATGAAAGTGATCGGTTCAGGCAGGAGAAACTTCTGCTGGTGTGAAGAAGAGGAGAGGGCTGCTTGGCCAACTTTTTAAAGAGAGACCTCCTCCTAGTGTGGGAAGAGCAAAGCATTAATAAAAATGTAAAATGCACAAAGAACACTATTACCACAGGCAAAGCTCTGTGGATGAAGTTCAATCTACCACTATCCTCAAAAAAGGAAACATTATATCCTTGTTTGCATGAATACAAACTACAGTGCAAAGCATGACGTTCTGAAAATATCATGACTGCTAATAGCTAAGATAGATATTTTAGTTCGATCTAACTGTACTAAAATTTATTCTCAGCATTCCAGATGAACAATTAGTTCTTTATAAGTTTAGATTTTTGTTTTCTTAATTTAAGAGCCCACCAAAACTGAAGGACTATTTATACAGTACTAGCAATGTATTTGCAGAACACACATAAAATTAGCACAAAGTAGAAAAAGCATATAAACTTAGTGCTATAAAATTATGACCACAGAATCTCATAGAAGAAGGTAAAAAGAGGTGTAAAAGGCATAAGAGACAACTGTATTAGCTTCATTTTTCAACAAATTCTTATGTATACATAGACACAAGAACACGCTTTTGTAATGAACCAAAAGGACTGCACACCTCTCTAAACTCTCTTTCTTCTTGGTTTTCTTACTGCGCCTGACCATTCGGCTCCTGCAGCTGTTTCTCCTGGCAGGTCCTGTCTTGATGGAAGTGTTTTCAAAAGGTGTTGTCATAATCAACACTTTGTTGCCACTCTGCCAAAATACACAGAGCCTTTAGGTTGAGCAATACAAGATCACTGAGCTTTAATTTGAAGTTACACTTAAAACCTAGATGCTTCAAAGCAGCATCAGCTTACGAGCTGGCAGTGAGGGGAACAATATGCAGAAGTTGCACAGCTGATTTATATCTGATAAACAATGACTGGAAATTTCTCAAAATGCTGTCAAATTTTCTGAACTTCCTCCATTACAAGAACAAGCTTCAAGACAATGGGAAATTCCAGTGATTGTAGTTAGACAGACCAAGGATAACACTGCAATCTTCAAAGTTTCTATAGAAACATCTTTTTTCCCCACCAAGAACAGCTGTCACTGCACAGTGCTCTGTTCACTAGCCAGTCACATCTCAGGATATTAGAAATGACAAAACAGAGGAGAAAAATTTCACTATGGGTCCTGATCAGTACTTTTACTTTATTCAAAAAAAGGAACATATAACTAAATTAAGATTTTTAGGGTTGCTTACATGAACAGAGAGATGACAGCCGTTCAGTAAAAAAATACAAGTGGAAATAAGCATATTTGTTTTTAAAAATCCAATCCTCCCTCTTAGTATGGCATAGTACTGCAACACACTTCTAATGCTCATATGAATTTTAATAAATTAATGTATGGTATCACATTTGGATAGCAACAATTTCATATTTTAAGTACATTCATATGAAGTATATTCTTCTGCACTGTGTGTGCAAGCTTGTTGCGTTTCTGCTTTTCTGCAGTTTTTATGCAGTTTGACCCAACTGCCATACATTGCAAAATTTTATCTCACAGGTTTCTTGCAGAACTGTAAAATGTGGAAGTTCCTCTTTGTTTCAAGACATTAAAAAAAAAAAAAGATTTAAGCTTAAGTTAATTTGCATCTTTCTCCAGCTCTTTTTATTTCCTTCTATTTCATTGCCTTCTAGTCTTCTAACTAATTTTATAACTCACTTTTACAAACGAAACTGCACGGAGCACCATTAAATTTGTTACTAATACAAGAAGTTAATATACTGCTATGTAAAATAATTCTGAATTTCTTCAGTCTCTGCTACAAAGATCACAAAAAAATCTGCAGCATAATGAGCTACAGTGAATAGTTAAAATCTTTTGTGTTTAAGAATAAAACATAACTAAATTTTCTAACGGAACAGGCCTCTAAAAACTCTGTAAGAGAGACACTGCAGAGGCTATTCATGAAAAGCCAACTGCGGGATCAGAATTTTATGAAGTATGTTTCTCTCTGAAGAAAGAAAACGTAGCCCCACGATCCTACGTGAAAAAGAGCAATGGATTTTGTATCCCACATGTCTAGGAGTTACCTTTAACAACAACTCAATGACTTCCGTATGAACAAGACCATGCACTGGCTCTCCATTGATATGAGTAATTAGGTCCCCAGCTTTCAAACCAGCTTGATATGCTGCGCCTCCTTCTTCCACATTCTAGAAATCACAAATGAAAATAATAAACAAACTCTTGTTAACTAATTCCCAGACTTTCAATAGTAGCTTTTTTTTCATCGCTCTTGCTTATAAATATATAATATTCATTATTATTATAATAATATAAATAACAGCTGGCTTTTTAACCCAACAAAGAAAACTTACAGATACCAGGTTCAATGAAGGAAAACAAAAAGTACAGGCAAACTATTTCATCATCAATTGTGGCTTCATCTTTGAGCACAGGGCTAGAATTGTTTCAAAGCTCACTGAAATGCTGTGTCGCCATTTAATTCTGTTTAGCAGGGCATCATAAAAGCGTGCCCAACACAAAATTTCAGATCCAGATTTTAACATCTGACAGTGATAAATACTTGTGTAATAAAAGCAGTGCTCACATACAGTATTCTAATCACAATACAAAGTTTTAACTCCACCACGTAGCCATGGACTCTTGGTATTTGGATCGAATTCATCAGCCTAACCCACTGGAGGGAACAGTGCAGGACAAAGCTGGTAAAGCACCAAAACAAACTGAATTGCAAATAATTTTGAAGGTGGCTTAAATAATTTATTACATTCTAAAATTAGCTTTTCAAGAATTTTAGGTCATGTCGTCAATACTGAGGCTACAGAGCCTCAGCAGTGGCTGAATACATAAATATGAAAGAATAAATGAATATCTGTAATCTTCTGAAAAATGCCAAGTTTCACTTTTACTGCAATGCAAAATTATTTTTCTTCCCTTCCTTTCACTGATTTGACACCCTATCAGACATGAGAACTCCAATTTTTGGATTTGTTATCACATATACACACTCTCTGCATTCAATGTTCTTGATGAACTAATAGGTCTGAGAGGTAAAAAACATGAATAAAACATGAATGATACTCTACTTCATCAGTAGCATTGCTATTTCAAAGCATACAATGGATACTTAGAATCTCATTCAAAACTCCCAAGCTTCTTACATACCTGTAAGGAATTTTTCAAAATTATTTTAAGGTAGTTGGAATATGTTAGATTACTGTTTACATACACAAAGATATGTAAAATGTATAGTATATACATATATATTACATATATAATATATACCTATATGTGACGTATAATATATAAACATCATACGCAATCAAATTCAATTATAAATATATATATACACATATATTCTGTTAGTGTTTTTTCTGTACAATAGATCCTCAAAGGTTTTCACCATTCAAAATGATTTGCAAATTTCTACAGAAAAAAAAGTCAGTAGTTGAAAATATCCTACTTGTGAGTAGTAAAATATCTAACTAATCTGGCTTTTATGAATCTCCTAACTGAAGCAGTTCAATAAACTCCATTAGTATTTCAACAGTTTACAATCTTCTAGTTTTGCAGATTCTGCTGCCAAAGAAAGGCTGCATCAACTCTTTAGTCTTTTATAAACCACTGTAACCTGTTTACAAATGCCAAATTTGCTAGAAGTAAAACTGACCAACGTAGAAGGTCAGCATGAGGTCTGGGGGCCCCAGCAAGGGAGATGTAGACCTGCTGGAGTGGGTCCATAGGAGTAAATGAAGCTAGTCAGGGGGCTGGAGCACCTCTCCTCTGAAGAAAGGCTGAGGGAGCTAGGCTTATTCAGTACGGACAAGAAAAGACTGCATGGAGATCTCACTGCTGATTTCCAGTTCTTAAAGGGAGCCTATAAGCAGGAAGGAGATCAACTTTTTACATGGTATGATAGTGACAGGACAAGTGGGAACATTTTTAAACAAAAAGAAGAGAGTTTAGATTGGATGTTAGGAGGATATGCTTTACTCAGAGAGGCATTGGAACAGGTTGCCCAGAGCTGAGGATGCCCCATCCCTAGAGACGTTTAAGGGCAAGTTGGATGGGACCCTGAGCAACCAGGTCTAGTGGGAGGTGACCCTGTCCACAGCATGGGGGTTAGAGGTGGATGATATGTCCCTTGATGATATGGCCTTTGATGCCCCTTCCAACATAAATCATTCTGTACTTCTGTGATGATAAGTAGGTACTACTTCTGTCAAAGATGTGTATTATATTGGTTTGGGTTGCTACAGCCAGCACTGGCATTGTGCAGTCACAAATTTTCTTCTCAAACTACTACTCAGCACATTACCACTTATACTACACTACATTTCCAGAGTAGCTGTCAACAGATACCCTGTGTACAAAATATCGAAAGTAAATATATCATTAGTTTCCTCTGGATTTATGGAAATAAAATTATTATCTTACCCAAACAATATGGTGCACAGTGTAAATATCACTGTCTCCCACATAAACCCTGATTGCTCGGATGGTGAAGCCGTATTTTTTTCCTGAACTGTGAATTACAATTGGCTGATGAGGACTTGCAGTAGCAACTGAAGAATCACGACTAGGAGAGGAATCTCGAGAGGACGAAGGATCAGATGATAGCGAATGAGGAGACATTGGACTTCCCAAAGGAGAAACACCAAACACATCTGGAAGAAAAAAAACACCTCTTACTGTGAATGCACACAAACACAGACACAAATCTGACAATCTGCTTAAAGGCATTATTCTGCCAAAATATTTCACTGTCTTGGCTTAAAACCCTTCTCCTTTGCACTAAGCATGAATCTCAGTAAATCAGAAGCCTGACAAACAACCCGATATGAGAAATAAATTTCTCTTCCCACAATAAAATCCCTATTTCTCAGGAATAACTCGATAAATGTAAACTTTGTCCTTTTAATTAGAAAATACACATATGTTGTTGTGAATATACCCAAAACCAGGCACTGAGTGGTAAACCAGCAGTGGTAAGAAAGCATTCACTTATCTTTTGGATTCAGTCACATACCTAAAAACACAGTATCTTGTTGTACGTGGACAGTAACTCAGAATGCTTGTACCAAACTTCAATTTCTAAAAACTATTTGTTTTACTGTTTTGAAAGCACCCTGAGCTCACACTTGTGCAAATGTAAACACAATTGTGGGAGAATAAGAAAAGTACTTTAATGATTACAACAGGGTGACAGCTGTTGAAAGGAATGCAAGCCAGAAATATTCCAGCTGGCTGTTGTGCCAAGTAATGTCATGTGAAGAGAGATAACACTTTGTCAAACAACTACCGCAGTCCGACTCCTGGATGTGAGCCACCAGAGGGTCCTACAGATATGTAACCATGTATCACATGGGTTATCATTGAAATCCCATGTAGCAATCTAACCCACAGAGAGCTTTTAATGTCACCCTCTGACTCGGAAGCATTCTCAGATTACCCCATCTTCTTCTGTCTGAAATGCAGGACAAGTCCTTTGACTCTCAGCCATAGGTCTTACAGCTCAGTAACAATGGGCATCCCTTTCTATACTTAATATTACTCATGAACATGAATAAGGTGGGATTTTTGTTAGTAATAGCCAGAGCTATCGTATGAGATTTTGGTTGATATAAACGTAATGACAACATTCCCATGTGTAGACAAAGCTAAGTTTAGATTTCATAGAATGTTGAGATTAAACTCAGAGAATCCCCCATTTTAACAAACATGGTAACTCAGACTACATCATCCCTGAACTTAGCAGCTCTCAACCTATAGAAATATAGAAACCTGTGAAATGAATCACTAGAATACAAAACTGATAAATAACATGCTTGGCCGTGTGTATTATCTACATGTGCATCACGCTTTTCTGATGGCCAGTCTGAATAATTAATGTGCCTTGTAGGCCTTTTACTAGCAAGAGAAAAAATTGGTACTGAGTGCTACAGGGGTACATCAAATAACATCTCTGACTTACAGACAGAGTGATTGCTTGGAAGAAACAGTCTACACAAAGAATAAGCTCAGAGTGTTTCCCACTTTGTAAATTTTTTAACAACAAACAAAGAAGCCAAAGTTTTGTTACTTACATATATTAACTATATTAGATAAACTTTATGTATGGCCCAAGCTAATTCCTCTTCACTCAATGTGGCTCAGACAAGCCAAAAGGCTAGATACTCACAGAAGGCAGCAGAGTTAAGATGCAAGTCCTTTTTGCTCAGTTGCGGCAATTTGGACTTTTATTCTGAATTACTATGGCATAAAATGCCAGTGCCGCATCTAGAAACACCCAGTACTACTCCTATACTTTCGCCACTTCAAAGCAGTATTTCTGGCTTCACATTTGGTTTACTACATATAAGCCAATGTAGTACAGAAGAGAGTTTAACTTTCAAGCTATTTTCACTTCAGACTTCACTCTGGCTCATCATCTTTCTGTTGAAGAGACGAAAGAATTAGGGTGTTGTAACAGAATAGCACCTATTCATGATGCTGTACAAGTGAGCTGCTTAGGACTTAAGCTACAGTCATACTAGAGGATGAAGTAGAGTGAAGCCTGTATCCTTTCTGCGCAGCACTGTAGTTAACACTACGTGACAGTCTGTCGTCAGAGCAAATCCCTCAGCTGTGATTTGACTACTCTAAATTGAAGACCAGACTGGATCTTTAGTCACATATAAATTACAGAAATAAAAATGTGACAAAAAACCCATTCCGGACTCACCAAAATCTTGGATTTACATCAGAAACCATGCACTATGCACAAATTACATCAAAGGACAGTTAGCTTTACCTCCTGGGATCATGAGGGACAAAGCACTTGCAGAAAGGGACTTTGTAACTTTTCCAGAGATCTTCTTTTTCTCTGTACTTTCTAATCTCTGACGAGCCATCTGAAATGCAACTTCAGTGGGAGGCTTTGAGGAGTTATCTGTGCTATCCACACATTCGCTTCGTCCGTTCATCTGATCTAAGTGCTCCGAAAAACTGCCAACTGTACAAAGAAAATGGGATAAACACAATGAGGCAAAACTGAAGGTCAGGGAAAGGAAACAGTGCAATTGTGACAAGTTTTTTCCTTCCGTCTAGAAATTCACAAAAAGCCAATTTGTAAATCTGAACAACTCTCTCAAACATGCACAAATTCAACAGAATGAACTGAAATAATACTGTCTGCTTCTGACGGAAGCAGAATGTAAACAAAAGCAGAAGCAAGTCTGGTAGCTCAACATGCAACATCAGCCTTGAAGAACTTTAACATGCATTGAACACACATAAACATACAATAAACATTTATTTTTCACATGGACTTCTAAAGCAAAGGGTTCCAACAGGTTCCAAAAACAGGTTCTAACCCTAAGTTGCTAACAGCTTAACAACTTTTCCAAAGTAATTAAAACACTACCTGTACTCCTACTTTTCATTATTATCTTTTGCTTTTATTTGTTCAGTGATTTTTTGTTTTTTAATCACTCTCAGAAAAGGGAAGATACCAGGCACTAAAGACTCAGTATTACAACCCTACTGGTATTATTCTATGACCTCCCATAATGAAAGAAAATAGAATTTGAAAAAACAATGATGGACCTCTGCCAGTAAAATTGTATGAAATGAGCATCAAGAGTCTCCTAACTTTGATTAAAACTATTTCCTATTTTTTATTTAAGGTCACAGAATATCCCATTGCTAATGAGATATGGAAATAAATGAAATTATTCTTAAGTGTAATTAGTAACTGACAAAAGAGCAAGAGATGTTTTGTGTTAACACCTTCAGCTAGCAGCTAGATTAATCAACATGACACTGAGAAGGGAGTGAGCACACACAAGGTTTTGGACAAGGGAAAGAGATGGAGGTGGTTATACAGTTCAACAGGTTTGAGGATGTATTCCCAGAACTAGTGGTCGAGGGAAGAAAAAATGCAGATTATGGAGGAAATCACGGGTATGAGAATAGAAAGAAGACAGAATACAATGATTAGCAAGTCAACTCATTGAATTACACATCATCTGGTAAATATGGAGATGAAGTAATTCAAGCCAACACAGGGACAAATATGAGATTGATACAAGCCTAGATCTGTATTAAGTACCAGATTTTCCAACAGTTACATAAAACTTTCCTCTGAAGGTACAAAACCAGCAAGATAATAGGGCTCTGGATTCCTCAGCAGTGCACTCAAATGCTTGTGCTGGGAAATGGAAGCATAAAGGAGATATATTATTTAAGTAGAGAATGGATTACTACATTTCTTCCTGGATTTTAAATGACACAACTGATTCCACAAGTCAAAGGCTACACTGCCAATTCTGAAACAAATATATATCACTGCAAAGTCTTAAAAACACTCTGAAGTGTTAGCACAGCCTTGGAAAACACATCAACTGGAAAGACTCTAGCGTTATCAATCAAAAATCACCAACACAGACAAGAAAAGAAATAAAAACAGTCCTTTGAGTTCTCATATTATCTAAGACTCATCTTCTCAAGAAAAGGATTCTGCCAAGGATCTATGGACAAATCAGTACTTTATTCACTTGCTAGAAGCGCTGGAGAGTTAGTGAAACAATGCCAACTGCTGGCATTTCTAAAAAATGCTCATGCTATTTCATGTTTTATGAGATTTTACTGATATGAAACTCAGCCTGAAACAGAACCCTTTTAGGATCTTTTATTTTAAAGTGGTACTGAAACACAGGATTTCTAAATCCATGAATGATAGATCTAAGCAAAGATCCACAACTGTTTCTAACATCAGCAGTTAAGAGACACAACGTGAATTACCTGACAGTGTGGAGCTGCTTATTGTACTTGCTGGAGTTGTTACTTCAGGCTCGTCTGGCACTATTTCTTCACTCACTAATGCAGGCTTTTCCTGCTCTTCCTGTGCTCCCGCTAAGCAGGTAGAATCATCTTGTTCTCCTTCGGCAGATATGGCCAGTTTTGGCAACAAACCAGAACTATGTCGTTGCCTGCTACTCTCGGTGTCAGAGGAGATGGATGTAGATACTTGTTGTCTGCATCAAAAATAAGCAAACTCTCATGCAGTTACCAAGATGAGGCAGCCTGATACCTGACAAGCAGGACACAGACCACTTTATTCTACTTACATTTCAGAATATTCTGAACTCCAGCTTAAAGATTCCACCGAAGGCAATGTGACACTTTTTGTTTTATCTCCTGCATCCTCCTTTTCATCACCTTGTGTTTGAGAAACTCGGTCTATGCTACTAAACACCTATTACAGACAACAACAACAGAAGACATAAAGAAGCGGCTCATCACTGACACATTTGATACAAAAAATTATTCAAGTCGTGCTCTACATGTTCCAAATTCTTATACAGGTAAACAACATAAACTACACAATTCTCAAGCCTTTAAAAATTTCTACAGAGGTTCTATTCTTAACACATTTTCTTGTTTTGCTTTTTTGGCTCCTTACAGAGAGGGTCTTGATTAGCAACTCTTCTCACCGTAAATTCAACAGCTTTCTTCCAATTTCATTGTCTCCGTAAGACAACAGACAAAATCCATAGGCTTGAGGTCTCCAGGTTATCAGTGCAAATATTGATTTCACTCCAAATCATAAAGTTAAAAAAGAAAAAACCTACCCCTTGGGTACTGATAGTATCTACTAGATAGGTGAAGAAAGTACAAAAATGAATCTCAATTGACGCAGAAGTTAAAAATAAATGACTTAGCTGAAGGATTTAGAAAAAAATCTGACCACCAGAAGTCTGTTTACTTATCTGACAAGTAGCATACAAATACTGCTGGCTGTAATATACTACATATTGTGAGTTGCAGCTAGAGATGTCATGACATAATGATGTTAACACAACAAATCACCATTGTGATACAGAGCTTTGAAAAAGGTAGAAGTTCACAGAATGCTATAATGATTGAGGTTGAAAAGCATCTCTGGAGGTCACCTGGTTCAGCCCTTGCTCCAGCCCAGAGCAGGCTGCTATTTCCAGCTGGCTTTTGATCTCCAAGGAGACTCTACAACCTCTTTAGGGAACCTGTGCCAGTGCTCTGTCAGCCACACAGTAAAGCAATGCTCATACTGAACTTTCAGAGTTTCAGTTTGTGCCCACTGCCTCTTTTTAAATTGTCTCCAAAGAAGTAAGCCTTCTTGTCCAAGTTGTCCTCAGAATAGCTGCAACGTTAATATCTGAATATCTAAATTTGAAATGTGCCATCAAGTGAAAATAAGGAATTAATGTAGAATAAGGATAATTATATCAACAGCCCCTCCCTCTGCTCATCTATACATCTTATATCACAGATATAATAGACATCTGATACTGCAAACCCAGTATAAAATGCACCAGTTAAAGCATAAGTCCGAAAAGACAAAAGATATAAACATACACTTTCAAAATACTTTTAGACAGTTTCTAAACAGGTTCAAGAAACTGCTCGTTAATAAAAAGCTTTTCCAAATCAGTGTTGACTGCTATTTAAGACTAATAGCATGCTGATGAGGCATTCTGATTCTTAATCCATTATACCCTCTGCCAGTTTTTCCTCTACAAAAGATCCTAAGCACATTCACTCTTCTTGTTGTATTCCTGTACAGCAGTAATTAGCTCTCTCCTTTTAGACAGCCAGTTTGTCTTCATGGCATTCAAATCACTTGCTCAAATCCACATCTTTCCTTAACTGACAAGCTAAATACTACCTTGCTTTTCATTGCAGTTTATTGTCATTTAAACTCACTGCTAGTATAGGCTACCACTAAATTTTTACACCATCATCTGCAAGATACCCATTTTCTTTACCCATCATTTTCAGTTAAAATTTCAAGAAACAATGCTATATGCACCTCTTCCATTTCTAACATTTCCAAACTCTAGAAAAGCAGCAAAATATTTATGCATACAATATGTATTAACATTATAGCAATTTTTACTTACTTTTGAAAATCTGTGTGAACATGAGGAAAACTGTCTTATCTCCAAATTGAAATCCTCATCATTTGTATCATCTTCTTCCTCAGTTTCCATGTGGTGGTATTTCTCAGAACGAGCTACAAATAAGAAAAATAAATTAACTGAATTTTTCAGGAGGATTGAGCCAAAAGCTTTATTATATTCTTATTTGTTCTGCATTGTCACATCACCACTGAAACTGTACAGTTGCCAGTGGTTCTTGTAAGCTCTAAACAAATACAAAATTGCAAGATTATTTTAACAAGATTTTCATTGCATTTTTCTTTAATGCAAGCAAATACCCACTGTCAAAATAACTTGTGTCATCTTCAGACTCCAACTGTGGAATAAACTCTGCTTTTTGTCTGAGCAGACCGTTCCAGTCAAGGCTCCTGAAGAACTGATGTTGCTTTACTTCATATGCACCACCTGGGGGAGCCAGAGAAAAACAGTGAGCAAACGACACCAAATCCTCTGACATTGTTTCAACTAAATTCCTGGTCAAGAGAATGTAAATTAGCATGGAAAAGGACAGTCATCCCTTCCTGCAGGCAGGAACCTTTACTACTCCTTTTCACTGGCGTCACCTAAACCTGTCAGAGCAGCACCCCTGTTTTCTTTGTTCAGTGGTGGTGGTATTGCCTTTTCTTTCAACATTTCTATTTTTCTAGATAGACTAATAATAATGCATCAATCACACATCATCTAAAAAGTAAAGTCTGAAAGTAAAATGTAGATGCACGAGTAATTGCAAGTTAGAAAGTATGGGAGAATTATTCTTAATAGTTGCTCAATGTAAATACCACTGCTGATTAGGAATTCCTTTTGGTGTTTTACGGTAGTGATACACAGCTCTACAGAAAATACTTTGTAATTTAGCTTATTATGGATTACTGCCTTGATTTTATAATCTGTTGAACAGCTGCATTAGTTTCCAATTAAAAACAGAATCTGTTAGAACACAATACAATACTGAAATAACAGTAAACCGTAACAATAAAATACTGAAATTGCCTGGAGAGGTGAGTGGGGATATTAACAAGCACAGAAGTAATTTTGTAAGCTGGACATACAAACTACTGCACAGTCAACCCAACTTGATATGCCAAGGGTAAGTAAGGACAAAGCCATAGAAAAAGTATGAATCTTCTAGGATTGGTCTTTATGATCTACAAATATTTCAAGATTTCTAAGCTGGATTAATTGATTTGTTGGGCTGCAGCTGGGAAAAACTCATAAAAGCCAAATCTTCCCAAAAGAGATCAATATCACATCTAGTCATAAGTAACTAGCCATAGAGTAATCACCTTTCTTAAAGCAACAATGGGATATTACAGCAAATTTTATAGTTCTTGACTAGTTTTCAGACACTTCAAATCAATCCATCACTTTACTTCTTCAAAAGAGTACAGTACCTGTCTTTCAAATTGACCATGTTACTAAGGTCTCCTGAGAAAATGCACAATTACCATTTCAATGGAATGTTAAGCAGCTAGCTAATATGTATTAAACAGATAGGACAATCATCTGAAATGCACGGTGGAGCCTGGGATAAAACACGCTGTTTTGCATTGCCCCTGTGGGACCCATTCTGTTGCAGACTCCTGTTTCTGTGAGTTGTTTCTGACAAATAAAAAACTGCACTGTGGCTTCTGAACACTCCTCTGTGCTTCAAAGAAATGGCTGCAAGATTTTTTCTTCAGACTGCCAGCTCTTGAGAGACCACAAACAGTCCAAAGAAGCCAGTTCCTAGGTAAACAGAGCAGATGCTCCATGTGGCTGCACTGATCACTGCAACTCTTAAGCCTAATTCTTGCCAATTTACTTCTTCATCCGATACGAAACGGAGACAGAATTTGCAAGCTACTTGTAGTTCAGCCTCTCACAGGTTGACAGTCTTGCATAAACACTACAACTGACTAGGAAAAGGCAACCTGGCAATGAAACAAAAATCTCTGAAAGGTATTTTGTGCTATATGTTTATGCATGCGTTTGAAACAAGGGAACAGAATTATCCCTGGCTCTTCATTTTAACTATAGTGATGGTGCCCTCTGCAGTAGGATGAACAGAAAGCAACTGGAGAAACCACCTTGGGCACAGTACAACTCCCTCACTTTATTTTAACATTGAGCAAGAGTGAAAAACAAATCTACTGGATATAATTTGTTCCAAATCATAAGCTACAGGGGAGACTGTTCACAGATCCCATGCATTCAGGGAGCAAGTCATTTCTGCCACTTGACCACTTCCCAAAAGAAGACCTGTAGTTTGACACCATGTCAACAGCACTTGGAACCTGGGTTGTATTCAAGTTCCTATGAATAGATCAGTTATGAGCTGATTACTACCACCACTTTTTATTTTAGCTCGAAAAATATGCATCATCCTCTGAATGTGGGACCTAGCTTTCACAGTAATTTTATCAGTAGTCATGATGACTCGATCTGCCACTTGGTTTCCTTAGAGTCCACATTATACGTGTACAAATGATATACATTATTTAGCCTAAGTAGGACTATATATTTAGGCCTTTTTACACGGAAAGCTTCTTCTGCTCTGTTTACTCAGTCCTGTGCGAGTGGGATGGTGGACAGTGACTAGGGCTCCCACACACACTAACACTTTGAAAATAATATGCAATATTCTTTGTTTCTGTCTTTCATTCAAATTCCCCAAAACATCCTGCTGCATCAGAGCGTGGCCAGCAGGTCGAGGGAGGTGATCCTCCCCCTCTACTCTGCCCTGGTAAGGCCTCATCTGGAGCATTGCGTCCAGTTCTGGGCTCCCCAGTACAAAAAAGACGGGGATCTCTTGGAAAGAGTCCAGCGGAGATGGACACACAAAGATGGTGAAGGGCCTGGAGCATCTCTCCTATGAAGAAAGGCTGAGAGAACTGGGTCTATTTAGCCTTGAGAAAAGATGACTAACAGGGGATCTGATCCAGGTTTATAAATATCTAAGGTGTGGGGGGCAGAATGGCGAGGCCAGACTCTTTTCAGTGGTGAGTGGAGACAGGACAAGGGGAAACGGCTGGAAACTGCAGCATAGGAAGTTCTGCACAAATGTGCGCAAGAACTTCTTTACAGTGAGGTGACGGAGCACTGGAACAGGCTGCCCAGGGAGGTGGTGGAGTCTCCTTCTCTGGAGATGTTCAAGACCTGCCTGGATGCCTACCTGTGTGACCTGCTGTAGGGAACCTGCTTTGGCAGGGGGTTGGACTCGATGGTCTCTGGAGGTCCCTTCCAACCCCTACAATTCTGTGATTCTGTGATCAACTCACTAATGCATAAACTCTATTACATGAAGTCACAGTGCTTTAATTAGCCAGTACAGGCTAACTGTACCAAATACAGAATGTCAAATTATTCATCTGATAAGGAACATGTTTGGCACTGAATGACCACAGCAGAATAAGCTGACCATTTGTGTTCTCTCTGATACCCGTTTATTTTCTTAACATTCATGCTTTTAATTTCGTTATTTTTTATGCAAGGCTCTAGTTCTGAATGGTAATGGTAGGACTTTTCAGTCATTTCTGAGTAATTAATTCATCACCCATCCAAAAGTCTGAAGGAACTAATTTGCCAGGTGAAGATGCTTCTGGAAGAAAGAGCATCAGTTGTGTATGGATTCTCCTTCTCTAGTTCTATGTCTAATTATTTAATACTGTGTTCATGAAAAAACCCCACTTAATGGCTAACTGCATCTCTGACACATCTTTGCTTTACTTATTCAAGTAAAAGAGAAGTAAAATAACAATCATATTTAAACATCACAAAATGAACAGTCATCATCTTGCTTAGGCATTATTACTCATTTAAATCCATAAATTTCCTCTTGTCATAACTGCATGTCATGTTACTCATCCTGAAAGATGTTCCTCAGACAAAAAAAACAAAAACAACCACGAATAAGAGTGTAGTGACCTCTGCAGAACATAAGTTACTTCTAGCACAGAAACAATATTTGGACTAGTTTGTCCTAACCTGTTCCCAGTCTTTCCAAGGGATTCTGCCTGAGCAGCAGGGTAATGAGATCCTGAGCATCCGGAGGTGGTGCTTCATCCTTTTCAGGCCAGATGATTTCATCTAACAGAAAAAATAGCTTGTTATTATTTAAGTCTGATTCCAACATTCAGAAAAGAACTGTGTGAAGCTGTCATCATAAGCTAGTCAGAGTTCAGGAAACTTTATCAAGTTGCTCTGCTGCATACCAATTATTTCTGATTTTCATACTCTTCACACAGACCCCATAAACTTATTTTTATAAACAGTGCTTAACCACAGGGAAAACTATTATTAACACTATCATGCTTGTATTCATCCTTCTCACAGCCATCCCTGTAAACACCATATCATTATGGTTTAAATTTTAGTTCTATTCCATGGAAACTGCCGATAATACAGACACAGCTGACCTGACTCAGCAGTCAGAGATCACATCCATAGTCCTGCTCTAACACTACTAGGTACACTGAAGTTATTACACCCATGGCAAAGGTTGAGGTATTATCATCTGTTCTGGGAGACTATGTCAGTGCAGCTTTTTTCCAGGTCTCCCACAGTTCACACGAAAACGCTTGCACCTCTGTATTAAAGAGGCTTTACTTAGCAAGTTGCACCTAAACCCTGAAATCACAATATTAACTTTGCAACATTCAAGTAAAACTGAATAAAAATTTTTCCAAACCTAAGTTTAAATTAAATATTGGAAAATAGCATCAGTTTAAAGATTAACACAAACTTTGTGACAGCTTACACAATAATTTTTATCTGAATTTTAGGTGAGGTTGCCTTCACAAATGTAATACATCACAGGTTTACACAAAACCCTGCAGTAGTTTTTTAGGAGGTACAAAGATTTCAGTACCAGAGAAACAGAGTATTAGGACCTCAGAAAACAAAAGAATGTTAAGGATTTTGTTGTAATCATATGACTTAGATTTTTGATTTGAAATTGATATCATTTGAGAAACAATTATCAGAAGGCTTAAACTTTGTATTTTGAAGTATAAAGAAAGGTACTGAAATAAACAGGCATGAAATGTAACCTGTTTCTGGAGGATTATTATTAAACCCTATCATATTAGGCATCTATTTTACACTGAAGCCTCCCAGTTTTCTCATAAAACTTGAAGGGAGAGGCAAACTACAACCAAAAAGGAAGAAGCTAAAATGAGGGGCCTTAACTGAATCATGAGAAATGCAGACCTCATGAACAGAGACTAGAATACAATGCTGTGCTATAGTTTGGACTCCATAACATGACTTTTTCAGTTGAATTCAAAGGGGCCATATATTATAGCAAAGAAATCTATTCAAGAAAAGAATTCATCTGCAGATACTGACAGTAGGAGTGATTACAGGAGGACATTCAAAACTTAAAAGGAAAAAACTACAAGAAAAATATCAAAAAATAAAGTATGTTGACCAACAGTGTTGTAGAGTAGCAAGAATGGATCATGTTTGCATAAATACACTTCTATAAATAATCTCTAGACAAATCACATGGATGAAGTTATTTGCCTAAGTATCAGTTAGTTTGTAACGTATGACATTTTAGTTTACAAAATGTAAAATTCATGTAACGTGCAAAATATAAAGATCAAATTTAGTCATTAAATTTGGACTACTCCCTCACCTCCATTCAAAGATCTTAATGATACAAACATATGCACATGTGTTTGGAAATGCAGTAAAAACACGGATTACTTCCATGTTCACCTGCCCACAGCTTCTATAGCAGTCTAAACCTGATTTGGAAAATAAAGCATACTGTATACTGCAGACATGATGCATCAAGAACAAAGTCAGCATCTGTTGCCTGTGTTAATTAAACAGTTGATTCTCTTTGCCACTCAGGCCTCAGCATATCACATCGGAAAACATCATGGTTATATATCCATAAACAGCTAGAATGTGGTAATACATCAAAACCAAATCCTTTTCATTGAAGTCTGCAAACATACTTGGCTTTCAGCATCACCGACGGAGAAGAGCGCGGTGACGACAAACTATCTCCTTGTGAATAAATGGGGATTTGCTGTGTTCTTGGAGAAAAAGGATCCAGAGGCTCAGTTAGTTTTGTTTTGGTTAGTTTTGTTTTGGTCTTAGTGGATCTTTTAAGAAGACCATAAGACAGACTGGGAAAAATTCAGTAACAGAGGTGCTGTTCTGTTAAACTTTTGGCATAAATAGAGGCTTTCTACATCTATGCATCTGGAAAATTTATGGAAACAGCAGGTACGATAGTAAATGATTCTGTTTAATTATCATTCAGTTTTGCCACAAGCCTCATAACAACACTTAGGGTCAGCTTGCAGGTTAACATCTAAAAGGTTATTGAATTTTAAATGAAAGAAGAACAGCTGTTACAGGAATAACATTACACTAAAACAATCACAAATGAAATCATTAACAATCTGTGAATTGAATTTGTTTCCTTCTCTTTCTCATTATTTATTATTTGGGAGACATTTGTTTCAAGGCTTTATCACATCTCTGTTAATTTCTTCATCATGCCATGAGGCATTTTCCCATTTATGCAAATGTATTTAACCATTCCTTTTCTGGGATTTCTTTACTGAAGACCTAAAATGCTGTGCTGCGGTACCCATGTTTTGTCTCTCTCAAACAGTGTAGCTTAGCTACTGTACCCTATATTACTGCATTTCTGTACTTAGCAAGAATATATGGTAAGTTTAGCTTTTACAGCAAATTTATTCTTGCTATTTTGATAGCACATGACATGTTACAATAATGACATTGTCTCTTTTGAGCAAAACTAGCTTAAAAACTAGCTCAGTGTATCAAGTAACATTGTATGTATCTTTACTATTGACACAAACGGAAATGTTTGACATTTCAGCAAACAAAGAAATCTGGTTCTACAAGATGATCCTCACCACTGATTACTTGTCCAAACAGCTCTTCTGGTGTATCTCCAAAGAATGGCACACACCCAACAAGAAATTCATAAAGAATAATACCCATAGCCCACCAGTCCACTGGTTTTCCATAACCTTGTCTCAGTATTACTTCAGGAGCTATGTATTCAGGTGTACCACAAACCTGAAAGAAAGAAAGAAAATATGCATGATGGTATATTAAGTCTAACAGTACTTGCTATATCACATCTTGAAATATATTTTCTTGAAATATAGAATAACACAGAAACAAAAACGAATGAAATTCAGTACATCCTAGGCTATTCTGCTGGCATAACTTGTTTTCTGCATTCTCCATCTACAATATAGGCATCAATCTCATTTGCATGTCTGTAAAGCAAAAGACAGTTTGTTTTTGATACATGTTATGAAAGTTGATCAGAGCAAATATTTTATTTAATTTAAACCTATCTTTAGCTTTACATGAAAGTTTTGACGGCTTTATCTTAAGTAAATTTTACTGTGAACAGATTGCAAGCAATGGTAATGAGGCACGCTTAAAGGGAAATGGGCCATAGCAAAGAATTTAGAACCCCTGGTAGTACCATGCATCATCAGTTCCACAAGCACACTGTTGAGACTTCTGAATTCCTTTTAAAAACAGTTTTCTATTTATCTCTCTCACAGACTCGCTTGCACACAGTCAGGCTGTTCATCTTATTAATAGGTCCTAATGCAGAAAGAAAAGAGCCTACCATAATCTGCTGGGCATTAGTCAAAGTAATTGACAAATACAATCAGAACACATATGCAGAAACAACAGCTTATAAACTACTGCAGTAGATTCTGCTAGCAAAACATCATTGCGTTAAACAATGTAAGAAAGAAAAAAAAACTGCATCTTACTTGTTTATCAAGGAATTCTCTGGCATCCTTCTCAATGTGACCCTCATACAGATTGGTAGTCAAACTCATTAGCCCCACCTTTGATAGACCGAAGTCTGTAAGCTTTATATGGCCCATGGATGTTACCAATAAACTGAAAATTGAAGTGATCTCAAGTTACTGTGATATAATTGAAGATTACATGCTTATCATTATTATTACACTCAGATAAATGTTTCAGCAGCACTGAAAAAAATTAAACCCATCTTAAAAAGTAATTTAGCCAGAACAAAATAGGTTGAATAAATGACACAGTCACACGTTTATTACTGTTACACCAGACATAAACAAAGCTTTCATATACAATTGAATGTAATCAGAATCATGAAGTGTCAAGAGTTAAATGGCAGATGTTTGAAGAAAATGAAATAGTCATCATTCTGAAAGAATAAGAATAGAATAAATTCAACTTTTAAAGTGAGGCAGGCTTTTTCTACCAGTAGTAGGCTGGGTCATTCATTTGAAAAAACCCAGATATTAAAATAGCTGGTAACTAATACCACCACACTGGCCTGAGGCATCATGCTAAGAAGATATTTTCACTGATGCAACTCCTCTTTTTTTTTTTTTTTTTTTTTTAAAAACTGTTATTAACTTGTTGTTCTAATATAAAACAAGGAGAAGATTGAACACAAGCCAGTAGTGTGTCCTGGCAGCTCTAAGGGCCAACCAAAACCTGGGGTGCAGCAGGCCCTGCACTGCCAGCAGGTGAGGGGAGGAGCTGTCCCTGCAGCCTCACCTCCAGCACTGAGCGCCATTTGGACACACCATGTACAAAGGACACAAAGCTGTTAGCATTCCAAGTAGCACCGCAAAGGCGGCAAAGATTGGCGAAGATTCTAGAAAGCAAGATGTATGAGGCGTGGCTGAGGCCCCTTGGTGTTCTCAGCACAGAGCAGAGGAGCTGAGGGGAGGCCTGATGGCGGCTGCAGCTCCTCACAGGAGTGGAGGGCAGCGCTGAGCTCTGCTCTGTGTGACAGCGACAGGGCCTGAGGGAATGGCATGGAGCTGTGCCAGGGGAGGGCAGCTGGTGGCTGGGGACAGGGTGTGCACCAGAAGGCGGTGTCACAGCCCCACACTGCTGGAGTTCAAAACGTCTGTGTACAGTTTACACAGTTTACATGTCTGATTTTTGCATGGTGCTGTGTGGAGTCAGAAGTTGGACTTAATGGGAGTTGGATCTTTATGGGTTCCTTTCAACTTGGGATATTTTTTGATTCTGTGATAAGTGGAGATACAACATCCATACTTTTCACTATAATTACTTGCTGTAATATTACTTATAGAGATTCTGTATGTCTAGATAATGGGAAACAAACAAACAAACAAAAAACAACCAGGATCAACTTTTCACACTGATCAATTTAAGTCCTCTTTCTGTGATATTCTATATACATACTTATCTGGCTTCAAATCCCTGTGTACAATTCCATAATTATGAAGGTATTCCAAGGCCAGAACAGTCTCTGCAAAATACATCCTTGCCATGTCCACAGGTAAGGGGCCCATATTTTTCATCAAAGTAGCACAGTCTCCACCTGTGAAAACAGGATGAATGTTGAAGATGGTGGTATAAATTTTTAGATGTATTTGCTGCAGAAGGGAACATAAATTGTAGTCATAAATGTTTCTTTTCCAATCAGATGATCCAATTTAACAGGCAATCACAATACCTGCTGTACTGAAAAAACCATGAAGCTGGGAGAGAGTGATGGTAGAGTTCAGCAGGAAACCAATAAAGTTTGTGCTGCTACTTAAAAGAAGTCCACACAGTCACAGCAACTCATCTTGACTGCTAGGAGAATAATGAGTGCGAGAAAAGCCACCTTACTCTTGAGTTTTGATCCCAAATCTGTATAGCCAGAACACACAGCAAATAAAGAAGGTCCTTTTAATGCAAGCACCATCAAGGTTTTGTGTCTTTCCTGGTATTATTAAAAAAATACTCCTTTCCTCTAAAAATGACTACTTTACCTTCTACGTATTCCATGACCATACATAAATGACGTCTTGTTTCAAAAGAACAATACATGCTGACAACAAAGGGGTTTTCTGCAAACGTCAGGATATCACGCTCGACGAAGGCCTGTTGGATCTGGTTTCGAAGGATGAGATTCTGCTTATTTATCTTCTTCATGGCAAATCTTTGTCTGGTTTCTTTATGTCTCACCAAATAAACCGCACTGAAGAAGTCCAAATGAGATGGAAAAAGAAAAAGCACTAAATTTAAAAGCTATTTTAAAATACATTTTTGACAAGTAAATATATCCAAAATATTGCATATGCATTTCATAAAAGACTTGCTTCTAATCTAATGTAGCTGATGAACCTTTCAGATAACAATGGATTGAGACCTTGTTACGTTTCAATGTTTCATCAGGATGACTTCAGTCAACACAAATTAGCATACAAATTGATAACAAACAAAACAAACAGTCCACCCACAACAGATATTAAGCTCAGATTTTGGAAGTTTCCATCAGCAAAGGATTATAGATGAAAACCAGCCATGACAGAATATTATAAACCATTTTGACAAATGTTTATTCTGTAAGTGTGAGTCATAATTATCTGACTGCAGACTCTGTTCAGGGGGATTTTAAAACACGTCATAGGTTTCTCAAGAAGGTTGCTCAGAGGTTTGCTCAGTGATGTGGCTCTCCCCAATTGGTAGATGCAAAATGTATCATCTGTACTTGTTCAGTACAGTACCCTGACATCAGCACTGATAAATATCATGGGTAGGTCACCAGTAGGTAATACAAATTAAAAAAACACATATACTACCTGGTAATGTGGGAATAAGATGCATCTCAACAGCCAAAATTTCACTAGGCTATTGGATACAAAGTTTCACATAAGCTTGATTAGAAAGATCAAGGTGATCAGGGCAGCAAAGTGAAAGAAAACCTCAGATGGACTACTTTCAAGGCTCGGAAAAATACATAATCTTATCATAAAACACACAGGACAGAACCACTGCATTTCTCGAAGTCCCTCAAGACAAACCCTGAAAACAACTGCTTTGTTTGATATCAACCTCACAGTATTCAACGCACACAGCATCTCCAGTTTATAAATACATGTTTTGTTTTGTTTTTTAATAATTACCATTGTTTATTTGGAAAGAGAAATGACCCCCCCCCAAAAAAATAGAAGTAAAAAATGGAACCTAGTAATGTAGTTTTTAAACTGATTTACTTGTCCCCACAACATGCAATTATCAGCATACAAGCATACAAATACAAAAAGCAATTTCTGCCTTATTGTTTTTACAACTAAATCTTCAGACTGCTACCAAAGTCACAGAAAAAAGCAACAACTTCTATTTTGCTTTGTGGAGTGTTTTTTTCTAGACATGAGAGTTTCTCTTACAGATTCTGGAAGTTTTCCTTAATCCCTTGCTACAGTCTGAGCACGGGGCAGGTAGAAAACATTACCTCATCATGAAACCAGGGGAAAAACACCTTGGGCAAAATCCAAGACAAACCTCACCCTTAGTGCCTGCCTCCTACTAAGTCTTGCTTTCTGTTGCCCATCCCAAACTCAAATAAAGATCAAGTTATTCAACTCCAGTATGCTTTCCTGCTGTCTTCACACACCTCTTCCTTCCACTCCCAGCACACTCATTTCTTTCTTCACACCTCCTGCACAGCTGTTTCCTTTACATTCTCTTTTTCATCTTTCTTTAGGTGCTATCTGTTGCTCATTTGTCATAAGTTTCTTAATCTCCTATAATACTGTGTATTCTTCTCCTATTTCAGTTCCTTCATGAATTTTTGGCTTGTAAAAAAGTGAGTTCTTCTGGTGCCTTAAGTATACTTTCCATCATATGCATCTGTAGAGCAGCCACTACCATATTTAAAGATGAAGAACCAGTCAGTTTAAACTATTCAATGCAGTGAAGATCCAGATATGATGATTACAATTCCCACAGTTCTCTAAATTAGATTCTCTATCCTTGTAGTTGCAGGGAGACAATAATCTAAATTTCCACCAGAATTGTTTTAGTCACAAACGCTTAGAAAAAAAGTATTTCACTGATTTACAAGATACTAGATTCACACACACACAAAAAAAAAAAAAAAAGCAACATAGTTCTCTGTCTTATGCTTATACATTCATATGCCATTTGTACTGATTAAGGTGATTTTAAATGATCTTCGGTATACAAGAGTGCACATCATTCTGCACATCTGTGTAACACAGTAACGTGAGCTAACAGCATTACGAACAAAACTATGCTCTAAATGGAAGCAAAGGATTCCAGCCAAAGATTACCTATCTTCCTTCAGGAGAGTCTCATTTCACAACTATGCATTTCCCTTGCTTACTAGTACAACCAGCAAGGCAGATCATTGGAACCGCAACCTGAACTTACTGAGACTCCTATGCTTTGAAAGAATTTGCTGAGATGTCACTAATAAATGGAATATGAAACTTTCCCAGGGACAAGCAGTTAAACGAAGAGAAAAAAATGCAGAAGTTACTTGGACATTAAAAACAAACAAAAACAACAACAAACCAAAGTGAAAAAAAAGAAAAAAAAAAAGCTTCACCTCCCTGGGATTTCAACTTAATCAAAATAACGGAAAGCTCAGGGTAAAGCGCAGAGCTGCCAAGACAATGAAGACAATGAAATTCCAGATAAAAAGTTGAGAACAACCATAACGAGTTCTGGTGTTCTAGCTTTGTTTATTTTGAACCTGATTTATAAGTTTTGAGGTATTGTCTTTTAAGCCATGAAGCAGAATGGGATGGTCTGATTCCCTCTGCTTTCCCTGAAGCTCTCTTCTGCTACATTATCCTCATTCCTGCACTGAACTCAGCCTTTCTTTTCTCACGACAGGCTCATTTCACTCTGTTGCTCTATTCCTTACTTGTCAGATGCTATTCCAGAAGCATTAGACAGACTTTTATCTTTGTTTCACTTCCGCTTTTAAGAGAACACAATTTCTCACTCTCATTTTCTTGGCATTGAGCAATAATATCCAGTTCATGATTTCCAGTGAAAAGACAACTGTCTGAGAACTCCGTTAATACAAAAGCAACTCATCCATAACATCAAATTGCTCCGTCCATCCACTACACAACAGTCAAATGCCATCCTTGCCTGCAAAGCCACAACCACAGAGGCAGTGCTGCAACCTCCTATGCTTTCAAACCAAGAATTTGCTTTCCTGCCTTGCCCTACTAGTTTCATAAAGTCACCATGGGATTTCCAGAACACCTGCTGATTTCACTGAATGGATCTCAGCAGGTACACAAATGATCTGTTTTTTTTTATTGATAATGTATCTAAATGTATCACGCAAAATTTATTTCACAAGAGAAATAAAAGAAATTAACAAACTCTGTGACTGTCCAAACACTACCTTCCTCTACTTCTAGTATAGAATTTCCATTTACTTTGAAAAAGTATATCTAAAACACCTAGGCATAAATATAAATGCTATGCACGTGTTGATATGACAAAAACAAACAAACAAACCTGCTACAACTTAATTGTTATGCAATCTACCTTTCAAAGCTTACAACAATGATTCTTGGTTATAACTAAAATCTAACAGTCTTCAGATCTGTCAGAGAACATAGTATGCCTTGGGTTGGAAGAAATCTTAAATCTCATCTTAATTCCAAGTTCTCGCCACAGGCAGGGCTGCCACTTATCAGCTCAGGCTGCCCAGAGCCACGTACAGCCTGACCTTGAGCACCTCCAGGGATGGGGCAGTCTGTGCCAGTGCCTCACTACCCTCTGAGTAAAGAATTTCCCCATAGTACCTAATCTAAACCTTTTTTTTGTTTAAAATTGTTTCCCTTGGTCTTTCCATTACCTGCCCATTTGAGAAGTTAGTCTCCCTCCTGTTTCTACGTTCTCTAGTTTACAGATCTTCAGTAACTTTCCGAGATATTTTAAAATTTAGTCTACATTCAGTACTTTCAGCTGATGTTGCTGTGTTTAAAGGTAACTTGCTTTTAACTTGATTCCTGAATTTGTCAAAGGACCCTAAACTCCTTGTGGAAACACAGGTGTTGTACTTGCTGCATTTATTATTTAAAATTTAAAGGTGCTGACCAAGAATTATGCTACATTTTAAAAAGCAATTTTCTGAGAAAGGATTGCTGAATTCTGTACTGCCTGAATCATCTCCAGTTCAAGGCAGCCATTTGTGAGGCCACGATTCATGTTACAGCATTATGTCAGAGTTTACAGATAGTTAAGATCAGAACCACCAGAACCAAAAACAGCTCTGCACCACCTCCCACCTAGATGATATCCATCACCAAATCAGATTTATTTGGGGGCAAGGAGGAAACGCTGCCTACAGCATGCCTAAGACAAGCATCCACTGTAGTGTGAACAACGTGTTTGGGATACACCCTAGTATGCCCTGTAGCATGGGAAAAGAACAGAATGGCTGTGATTCTTCTTTTCGTATGAGAGATCTACTCACTTCAATGTGTTACATACTTCAGCCAGTAAAATTGCCTGTCTACATCTAACTGTAACAACTTCCACCTTTATGGAAGCCAGTAAACACAGGCACACACTGATAAAACTAGTGCTAGATTTTCTGTGAATAAACTCCCTAAGAACTGTTCAGTATTTGCAAAAAAAAAACACTTGAAAAATAGAGTCCTTCACATATTTATAGCATGCCGCATGTTCAGGAAGGACAAAATTTGATACCATCACTACTTCTTAACTCTCAGTAGTTGAAATATGGGAAAAAAAAAAAAGTTGCTGTAATTGCAGCAAAAGTTTGAAAAATTGGGAAATCTGATAATTTTTGCCTGGCTGGAAAGCAGTCTGACAGACAGCTTTGAAACCATTAGTGACTTGGCCAGTGTCCTACTTGTTTACTGATTCACAGCTTGTTTAACTTCTTGTGTATTCCCAGCCTGATACACCTAATCTACTACACAGTCGTTTAATTGCATTACAAATTAGTTTACCCAACCAATACTTGATATTTAAACTCATCAAGTTTAGCACATCTGACAAATCTCTGCTACAGTATGCCAAGACCAAAAATTATCCTGTCAAGCAAAGTTTTCTATTTCACTAATGAAGGCAAAAACGCAACAGTGAAATAAAGGACATCAGAATGTACATTGCTTTTTTTTTTTTTTTCATAAATTGGTTCTGAACATAACCTTCTACTACCTCCTTGAAACAAGTAAAGTATTACAGTAGAATACTAAGTAATTCAGAGCGCAAAAGATGCCTACTGATGTATTTTGGAGAATAAATCAATGAAGTTCAGACAGAATTCACGCACATTCAAGTTATTTCAAAAAGTTAATGGCCTAGAAAAATGTGGAAGTGAGAAAAAAGTCTTGTAGCATAACAACACTAACTTTTATTTTGGCTGCTTATACTTGTAATACATTGCAATAAATGCCCATTGGGCAATTTACTGCTTCGTATTTACAGATGGAACAGATACTGCTGCTTAATTATGCTCCATTTTGTAGAGTTTAAAAGTACACGGGCAATAGTTGTATGTTCCTCTTTAAATTTGAGCATAACTTATGAGTAAATTAATCTCCAGCTGTATGACGTCAACATAAACATGATACTCACTAGAAGTCTGCTAATAGTACTGTCCCTCTTTATCTGGTGCACAGAAATTCTTGAAAGAGTTCAAGCCTACTCCCAGCATCATTATGGGATCAAGTGCTAATCTCACTTTATAAAATTTTGAGTATATACTTTTAAAATCTGCACTCAAGCAGTTCACTGAATGTGTTTCTTTCATTCTAGACTATTTTTCAGTTTTACCTTCATAGTCCTTCTTGTTTCCATCTTCTTTATTTTTCTTGTAAGAATAATTTAAACAAAAAATCCAGACCAACAAAATCAACTTTGATGTTGTTTGCTTAAGCATGGAAATAACAGCACTTCACTAAAGTTGATGGGATTTTCACTTTCCACTCCAGTTTCCATTACTGTTGCATTACCTCTAGCATGCTTCTGTTTTAATGTTTTATAAAGGCAATAACAGTTCCTATAGAATGCATATACACCCTCACTCAGCTTTCCCTTTTCTCAACAATTTACCCAGATCTCTACAAAAATTATACTTGCTCTGACAACTTTACCTGTGATGTTCACTAAGAAGGTGCCTCACATAGTACAGTATTGATTTTCCCTGCCACAAACATGAGTAAATGTATTCTACATGCCCTCGTTGTAAGAGCCACAGAAAGCTTGGGCTTTTTTCATCCTTTCTTTTCCACCTTACAAATCTTTACCTGTCTCCAGTCTGTATTTCTTAGTAGCCCTTTGAGACTTCGTGGCTGTGAGGGTATGGAGCAAGAGGACTACTGTACAACTGACTTCAGGCAGTCAATCACACACTGCCAGTTGCAGCATGCCTGTGTGCCACCACTCCCTCCTTTCCCCACTGCATACTAACCTAAAACTACTGGGAAATTGCACGGGTCCACTGACTCAGACACCCATTTCTCTGACATGAACATACCCCACACAATTCTTGTTCTTCTACTTCAGTAAGACAAAGAGGAAGTTGGATAGAGATGAAGGGGGAAAAAGAAGAACGGATACAGCCAGGGATGGGAGCAGAAACTACTGCTAAGTGCAAGAAGAAAGGCTTTTAAAATTTAGGGGTAATCTGAAGTAACTGGCATAGACTGATGAGTTTGACTACAGAGAAATTCTGAGAAAATGAATTGTGAGGAGGCTGAACTATGAGAAGTTATATTTGGATATTTATATAATTTTAATTCAAATTACCCTATCTTCTGTAGGCTTTTTGCTGAACTACGTAAGTAGATCTGGTCAAAAGCAAACAGTCTCTCCATATGCTGTCATGATCAGAAGTAGCAAACATTAACTGTCTCATCAGAGCTCAGGGATATCTTTAAATAACATGACCTGAGAGTCATTGCTGCACCCATAATCCCAAGGCCATTAAAACAGCATGCAAAATTCCAGTGGGCAGATCACCAGTGGGTTTTCTCTTCCAGAGTCCTATCAGGTAGCTGCTGTTTCCTACCTCAAACAGAGGTAGCATAGGATAGAGCCAGCGTAACGTGACCTGCCAGGGATCAGCACAGCCCTTTCCTTCAATGCTGTTCTGCAACACTGCCTCATTTGATGACAGACAGAAACCTGTCTTTTTTGAACCAGTACCAAGTCTCCTACTCCTGATCAGCAGTTCCTGTCCTTATACAATTTAGCGCTGAGAAATATAACCAAGCAAAGATCTAATGAAGGCACCTGAACATGAAAGGAACCAGTAGTTCTATCTGTTGGCAGACTTAATACTTAGACTACAGCTATGGAATTCTTTCATGTTAATTCTCTCTTGGCCTTTCAGAGTTATCTACAACAACTTATATACCACTGTGCAGTAAGTTCTCTATTTTTACAAGTACCCAGAAAATCCAACCAAGTAACAGTAACTCCTTAAAAGCCATCTGGGATCGAAGAGAGTCCACAGAGAAGGGGATAAAACAAACAAACAAACAAACAAACAAAAACGAAACAATTCAGACCTCCTCAAGGAAATTTTTTTTCCACTTCTCCAATATTTTTAGGTCTAATTAGCACTCAAGCATTAACAACAAAGTAGGAAAGCAGAATTAAGAATACATCAGTGCAAAAAAATCGCCCCCATAATCATCCCCACAGTAAGAAATACTGGGAAGTTATGCAGAACTCTGAAAAAGCTGTTACAGTAATGTGAATTACTCACCCATAAGCTCCATTACTAATCAGTTTGATTGTTTCAAAATCACTTTCTCGAGGTTTTCTCCGGAGCTGTAGTGAGGTATTAGAGCTCTTCAAAGTAAAAAAGGAGAAAGAATACAGTCAGTACAGTATTTTTTTTCTTCAAAGTAGGAAAAAAAAACCAACACATAACTCCAAGTACTATGAGTCCGTGACACCCCAACAAACCAGCTGAAAGACCTAGCCAGTTGACCACATTTTGGCTGAAGTGAAGGACACAGGAGTTCCTGAAACAGAGCTGCCTCTCCATCTGAAAGGTACCCGTAACACTGGAGCCATCTGTCCCCTCATCTCCATGTCAGGGTGAAAGCAGATAGGTATGATGGCTTCTGGTAAAGGGAAATACTGGAAACTCCTATCTGGGGTCTAAACTTCTGAAAATTGCACTAAGTACTCGCTGGACATTGCCTTCATTTTTGAGTAAAAGTGATTCCAACAGTATGCAGGCAGAATCAGCCTGGGAGTAACTGAAACAGATGAATTCTTCTAACATCAAAGTTTTGTACATTTCTGACTAATGCTAGGACTGTGATATAATTTAGGATGGACCGTGGAAAGACACATGAAGAGAAAAAAAAGGGAAGACAAAAATGCAATAACTCTATCATGATAATGTCACTTTCACCAATTTTTATGCAAGAACATCTTCAAAACAAAGTTATCTTGAAATGCAGTACAACTTTCTTTCTAGCTGTAATCTTAATGAATCTTAACAACCAAGTGTAAATTAGGAATGAGAGGTGTGGGGCACATGTGCCTGCACTAGTGCAGATTCCTACATTTCTTATTCCAAACCTACAAAATACAAAGTGCTTCCCAAATTTCCAAAAAGTTCTGGGATCCCTATCAAGACAACTCAGTAATGTTAAAGGTTGGGTGTAGATCTGCTTGGAAGACTTTCAGTGAAATGCTTACTAAAGAAACAGTCCAGTGTTAAGAAGTGAGTATGGTAACAGAAGAAACTACACAGGATAAGGAAGAGAATTTATTAAACTGCTTAGGCTACTTGCTTGCAAATACAGGATTCTTCCTAATTGTGTACTTAGCGCTATTTTAAATTGTTCTGTGTTCTATTTTAAGTTATGCCTCTTTACACTTTCCATGGGTTGTTTTTATCTTATGTTTACTCCACATTGGTAAAATATTTCTAGATATTCACCCTCTATTTTTCATTCCTCATATAGTTTCACCACAGTCCCAGTTACATTCCCATATTACAATCCATCATTCTTCCTTTTACTTCATTTGTTCAACTTTGAGAAGTTTGCATTTGCGCAATATAAATACCTTCAGAATTACAATTTCATACCTATTGCTAAGCCAGTCTTACAGATACATATTCCCCATCTAAATTAGAACACTCCTTCAGCATTTTAATTATCTAATTTTTATCCAATTTGTCAGTATTGTTCCAATAAATAATGCCCAGGTCTGTACTTTATGAAAACACCAGGAACCTTCTCAAGATAAGACATTTCAGAGGAGATAATGTCCTTAATGCAGTATGTTGATACTACCTTAGCAGATACCCCACGCCTGTATTTTAAACTCTACTAATTGTTACAGATGCCAGCAAAGTATCTACGCATCCTTGCAGAATTGCACTGACTTGTTCTGTCTGCTTGCACTAAAAATTAACAATAATAGAATTGCATTTACTGTTGATCGACGTGCAAGGTATAAGAACTTTTTAAAATTATAATTTAAATAAACAGAACTTAAACCCACCACAAAATTCAGACCAATCATCTCCAGCAACTCATTTTTCTTTTGCTAACCTGTGCAAGCATTTGACAAAATCTTCCTGTAAGATACACATGATTGTAGCCAAATATTTTCATACATAGATTCAAAAGAATAATGCAGAATATTCCAGACTACAAGACAGCTTCCTGAAACAGGTTTTTTGGCAACATGCTTATTACCTTCTCATGTCTTGACTGGATATGTTTAGACTCTGTTAATTTGGTCATTAGCTGCCACCGTAAGCAGACCAACTTAAAATAGTTCTAAAATGCTTTGTTTTTAAAGAAGTATGTAAATACTTAGAGAAGGAAAATGATTACATTAAACGGAAATAAAACAGTCACTGGTGGAAACTATGGTAAAACAGTCTTCTTGTTTCGATTACTGTAGCCTCATGAAAGCCAAATACCACAGTGCCAAGGAAAACAGAAAGTTTTGCTCCAGTACTTTTCATGAGTCTTCTATCTGCTGAGTGGCATGGTGCTAAACCCTGTAACTTTTAAGAATCCATTCTACTAATTTACCCATGCCAGAAGAAAAACAGAAGACAGACATTTTCTTCTTCATTCACATTCAGAATAAGCAGCATCGTAAAAAGAAAACTTACAGTTACTGATTCATCCATTTCCAGAGATTCTGCTGTCCCACTGTCACAGTTAGCTAGCTGAGCTATTTCTAGAAACAAATATTAGAAAGTCCTTTTTAAACCTCAGTAAGTATAAAATTAAGTACCAAACTAAAATCTGAGAAGTGACACTTTTCTGGAATCATTCTGTAGTTCTTGCCAAATAACTATAGGCTGTTTCTAAGCATTTAGAGTATTAATGCTGAGTATAATTCAGAGCACAATCTGAAAAAGGAATGCGTGGTATTCATTGTCTATGTGATCTTAAACAGCTAAGTACCAATAAACAGCAGTATGTACTGTGATTGCTGAGATGCAAGAGTTATGTGGTCTGTGTGTATTAATTTTCTAAAAATCATGAGGATCTTAGACCACCAGGGGGTTAAACTGCACATCATATCTTTTATGTACTACCTAAAGCTTCATAGCTGGAACAGTAAGGTTCTAGTTCAGGCTGATATGGATTCCAAATGTTTCCATCTTATACACAGAAATGCTGATAATCCTACCAGACCCAGCTAAAAGCCATTTTTTTCCCTCAAAGCTTATCATTTATGGAATTATTAATACAGACTATTTCTCTGTGAAACGCTTGGATTTTGGCTGATCTAGCAAGTTTACCAGGTTGTCCTGATCTGTCTATGGTGCAGAGTTCCTAACTCTATTATGTTCTCCAGGGACATGTGAACTAAGAATTCCTCTGGGTAACAAAAGCTGAACAGGAAAGCTGGTACCTAAAAAGACTTTGGATAACTTAATATAACTTTAATATACATTGTTAATTATACACTCTGCAGAATCAAAGATCTACACTTGATCATAATTATGTGATGGGGATCAAAGAAAAGACTACCTGAAACTTCTAAGATGCAATTTCACCATCAGTACTTACTTTTTAACTTATGAATAAAAAAAGTAACTTAATATTCACATAGAATATATATAAGCTGGATTTTTCTATACAATAATCAATTACTAGAAGTGAAATCCTAGGTAATTATTCGCACAACACTTACTGTAATCATTAACTGTAAGTTAAGCATGTAGATAATTTACTTGTAGAGCATCTTGAGAGTAACTCTCATATCTAATCACTACAAAAACCACAAAATTTAGTTTCAAAAACAAAACAGATCTTTAAAGCTTAACAGAAGTTAGAAAGATTCAAACAAAAATCTGAACACAAGTCAACAAAAAGTGAAGAATCATCTCAGTGAACCATCAGAATTATCCATGAAGAATAAACATTTTTAAAAGAGAGCCTAGGCTTAAACAGTACAGGCCAAATTCTAACTAGGGAGTGGAGTTTTCTGTCAAAACTCAGTTTCATGAACATGAGGGTTTTATAATAAATGTGCTGATGAAACCTTAATAGTATGAGTGCGAACTACACAAGATAGAAAAATATGCTTTGACAGCCTTCTCAATTGAGACAGTTTTCATAAATAGGAAATTAAAATGGGCCATTGTTAAACAGAACTTTTGCAAAATATCCATTATCCGAGAAATACCTATTATTTACAAATAGTAGGTATTAATGGAATGGAACTAAGAGTCAGCTATCAAAACACAGAGCCATGGAACAATTTTGTAATGCCTGAAGAGATTTTTAAAACTCATCTAAATACCATTAAACATCTGCCCTTTTTCTTTCATTGATTTAAACCATTTCTGAAGTCTCATGATTCATAAAAGGTAAAGATGGAAATTTAAAAACCGGGGGGAAAATTTCTCCCCAGGGAACTCTTCAGAAATGCAGCCACCAGCCTCTGATAAGTGATGAATCTGCTGTGGTACAGATTTCAGTACAGTATAAATTTATCTGGCATTATCTCCCAAGTAATGCATGCATCATTTCACTCAGCTATGGCAGAAAACAAAGGGGGCAAGTAGGGAAGGTGCTAAAGCATTCAGTTCTTTTTTTGAACTGAAAGTGAAATCCCTTCCATGAACATTTACAAATGCTAAACACTTAAAATAAATACAATTCTATGTGGAGCTGCTATTCTAATTGCAGTTACTGACACATAATTATTTGAAAGCTTTCTGTTTTTTTCTTCTATCTAAATATTTTTCAGTATATTCCATTTTTGGACACAGAAACGTAAAGGCTCTCATCTTGTTTTATGCTTTACAGTAATGTATATAAAACGCTGAAAATAATTCTCTTTACATGATTAATTCAAAGGCATAAACCTCACAGTGCTGTTCTCCTTATTTTTTGCTTATGGTATGTCCCTTTAAGCAACGGTACCAATTTCAAACTGAAAGCAATTTTCTTCTCTGAGAAGACAGGAAGAGGATTAGTAAGCTCAGCTTCCATTTATCTTTTAATTTTGATTTTTCAATCTTTTAATATTCATTTAATTAGACCTAACCAAACACATGACAATATCTGTCAGTGCTGCTTAAGTTGAAGAAAAAAAAATTCATTTTAATACACCATATAGCTTCTCAGACTTCATGAAATATGATTTTGCATTACGAAGACTGATTAAAAAGAAAAAGCCAATCCTATCTTAACACAACTGTCTTTCACAGAATCATAGGATGCATTGGGTTGGAAGGAATCTTAAAGATTACCTAATTCCAAACCCCTAACACAAGCAGTGTTGCCATTCACTAGTTCAGGCTGCCCAAGATACCATCCAACCTGGCCTTTAATTCCTCCAGGGGTGGGGCATCCACAGCTCCTCCAGGCAGCCTACGCCAGCACCTTACTGTCCTCTGAGTAAAGAATGTTCTCCTTATGTCTCACCTAAATATCCCTTATTTTAGTTTAAAGCCATTTCTCCTTGTCTTATCACTACCAGACCACGTATAAAATTGGTCACCTTCCTGCTCATAAGCTTCCTTTAAATACCAGAAATATGATTTTGTGTTACCAAGTCCCCTCCTAGAGGTCTCCCTTGTTCATAACACAAAAGACAAGCAAACTAACACTAGTTAGATCCATTTTCCAAGACAGCACTTCTGCTGCACTCTAAACTGTGAGACTAGCACAGTATGCAATGAACCCAATTTCCACTTTTCACTACTAACAGCATTTGATTTGAGTATGAAAGAGAAGACGGTCTGCTCAGGAGACAAGTAATTCTAGTTGTCGCTGTCCTTAAAACAAGAATCAGGCAACAAATAATCTTCTGCAATGACAATAATTTTACAGGAACCAACTCAACTTCTCCCCTTTATAAGTCCTAACTATGCACACATAGGTTGCTCAGAAAAAGAAATCTTCAGAGTTTCAATAGGAAAGGGAGAATATGTATTCAGTGAGAATACGATGTAGAAAGCCAGGAGCCATGAAAGGCAAATTACTTACCAGTCCAGTTTCACTTATACCTACAGTTGGATAATAGTAGATACCAAATTAGAGCTGTAAATTTCAGATAGAGTTCAAATAAGGAAGTTTTATTGCCTGAATGTAAAAAATGAGTATCATTGATACAACGCCATCTGTGAATGGTATTCATAGCAGAAAATCTCAGATGGCCTTTATAATGCCTTTAAGCTCGTGACAGAACCTGTGGGTGAAGTGAATGCTTTTTGCTTTGCTCTCATTTATACTTTGATTCCTTGAGGCACACTCAGAGTATCTCAACAATCATATACAATGGGAAGGAAGCATCTGGACGTTTATAGCTGAACCAAGAGATGCACTTACCTTCTAAAGGATCTTTATTTAAGCCCAGCTGACTAATAATGTAGCGGGGAATGTCGGTTTTAATGCCTTGTCCTTCTTTAGCATGGCCTTCAGCTGCTTCCAAAAGATAGTAAAACTCTTCTGGATCAAATTCCTGAAAGAAAAAGAGTAACTATCATTCTCTCTGCAGAAACTGAAGTATTAGAACCTAACAGAATAACTTCTTTAGCTGTATTTATCACAAATATTTCTCTTATTTAAAAAAAAAAAACACCAAACTTTATTACTCTAGTATTAGTAGCCTATCCTTCCATTATCATTCCTAGACAATATAATATTCTGTAAGCCATACAATTTTGCATCCTGTACTTTTATAATAGGAAGTTGCCAGCAGAACTCACCACAGTATTCTGTGAAATGACATAACCAGCAACACATTATTCAGTAACAAGATTTCACATAAGACTTCAACTCCCTGCAGTTGCTTGGATACAAAAATCTGCTACTGAAATCAACCACGTAAATAAATTGCTCTCCACTTCTAAATAAAATTCTGAAGTATTTTACGTAAATATAACTGTACACTGTTTTAAGGAAAATGTAATTGAATAAGTACTTGACTTTAGAATGAAGTCATTGCAAGCTGCTGAAAACAACACTGGAGCTTCACTGATCCAATTATTTCAAAACTAGAAATAAAACACTACCCTTTGGGAGCCAACTATATTACTATATAATTTATTCCACATGTAGAAGGCATGCCTTCCAAGAGTAAGAAAAGAAATCCTTCCCTATCCCATAAGTCCTTTAGAAACATATTTATTTCACTACTTTAACAGAAGGTAAAATTAGGAAATCGTTTAATAGAACAAGAAGGATTACCAATAGGGCATTTTTATTCTTTTTAATAATCTTCTGTTCTCTTTCCAATATATTCTGTCTGTATCTACATATATCAAAATTTCACTCATAGACACTACATTCTTCAAACCATTCATATAATGTATATAATGCACACAAGTATGAGTACATGCATACACACATAAATATTAGAAGAAATTAATTTCCTCATCTTCACTTCAAACTTATGTCCTTCATTCTTCATGTACTGAAGCGACTACAAATGGAGAAAATCTCTCAACATTTGGAAGTAGCTCTTGACACATGAAACTACAAAAAGTCTTTACTCATATGATTAACATGTAAATACAAGCAGGAACACACATACCACCACCATCTGAGCTAAACCCTAGCTAAAAAGCAGGAAGAAAACTGGTTACTTAACTATACAGTACATGAAACTTCTGATGAAAGTGTTGTTTTATTTCCAGTGATTCTATGGAAATTCTTACAGAGGCTGAAATTGTCATATCTAGTATTTATTTCAGACAGACTTTTCAAAATATCAGCCAATATTATTTAAAAGGTTCCAGAGAATAGCTACAGAAAAGCAACAATGTTGTTTTTACATGATTAAATGATTCCAGTGACTTAACTGGTAGGTCTTAACACCTTGTGTAAGAAATGTGGGTCTTGTTACAATCTGCCTGGATTTTTTCAAGCCACTTGCCTCTGAAGAAACCTACTGTAAGAAGAGTTGTTACGTTTCAGCTTAAATCTTCTACAGACTCCAAGTAAGAACACTCCAAAGAAGCTGTGCCAGCTTTCTCTGCCATTGCTGCTCTGAAAATCTACAACAGCTGGAAGCAAGTAAGCACTAAAACTGAGAGCACAATTTCATTTCCTGAGAGAAATGAAAAATACTGTCCGTCCACTCACATCAACAGGCTCAGCAAAGGGAGAAATGCAGGATGTGCAGCAGTTCCAGTTCAACTGTGATAGGCTGGAACAAAATCCCAAAGCCATAAGCTAAGAGAATGTAGATTTGGAACTTGCCAGCTATAAAATTTAGCATTTACAGAGAATGAACCAGGAGCCAAATAGGTCACCAGGAAAGAACCCAAATTAAACGATAAGACTAGGAACAGGAGTGGATGGGAGAAAGAAAATATGTGAGGAGAGGATGAAGTGCTACAAAGAAGCCTAGGTCTGTCAGCCCACAGTATGTATTTAAGAGCAGTTTTGAACATGCAATAAGGAAATCATGGAATGGAGAGAAACAAGGCTTCATATCAGAGATTGTGTAAAGGGCTGGAGAAGGATTATGAGAACTGTGAGAAAGGAGCAAGGAAGATCACTCCAGACATTGCTGAATTAACATTCAGGGGACACAGTGAAGACACAGTGCAAGCCCACATTCAATGTTTACTAACACATCCTCTTCTGTAGATCCTGTCATTATTTTCACATCATTCATCCTGCTTCAGAGCACACACCATATTTAGATTTCTGCTGAACTACAAGTCATGAACAAACTGCAACTGGGAACACTGAGACATGGTGTTTCCAAAACAAAAGGGTCGTCTCTCAAAATGCCCACAGCAAACAGAACAATCTAGGTTATGGATTAACTGTGCCACAGATGAAGAAACACAGCACAGAGCCAAGATCAGGTTGGAAAGACTGAGTAGCTCAGATTCAGTGGTATGCAAACGCAGTTATGACACTTCCAGGCATAACTTGAGTCTAGCAGCAGGTTAGTGGCTCCCACATACACAAAGCCTTGCCAGCCTCAAATAGCTGCTTGCAGTGTCAACACTGCGATCCTGGTATTGGCAAGCACAGCAGCTCAACAAAGTCAGCTCAGGCTCCCTGCCAAGCCTGTTGGATTCAGGCTGGCTCTTACATGGCATTTGGGTGTCTACACCATCCTCTTGAGCACTGTGTTCTGTGAGCATTAATTTCTTCCACTGAACAACTGAAGCACAACCTCCTGCACTTGAGCCTCCCCAGTTCTCACAGCAGGGGCAAGTGAAACAGTAACATGCCTAGGTGGTCTGGCACAAGCTAGCCCAATACGGCAACACACATGCTATGCTCACTAAGGCTACCTGTATCTCCAAATACCCTACTGGAGAATGGACTGCAAGCTGCATACAGCCCTGGCAACTGTTCAGTGCAACAAAATTATAAAACTTACAAGAAGAACAATGGGAAAATCACCAACCAATTATGATTCCGGAAACATCTTCCCAAGAGAGTAACAACGTTGAACAAAGCAACAGAAAAAACAAACTCATTTTAAACTGGAGCTTCCTAAATTTATGAAAGGGATTTAATAATGAAGTATTTGCAATAGCAGGGAGCCAAACACAACTGCAGGAGCTCTCCACTAGTATCTTGCTTCTGAAATAGAAGTAAAAAAGATCCCACCAACAATAAAGCCTTGCCGAGTTGTTTGACAGTACTGTGAAGGAAACTGAATACTAATCTGGGAAACTTCCCATCATAGCAATTAACAAAAATCTAGATATAGTAGCATCACCTTACCAGGCATTCCAGTAAACGAGCAGGGCGAGCAATAACTATGAGGATTTTTCTGACTAGTTGCTTAATATATGCCAGTTCTTCACTCTCTGATCGCTCCTGAGCCTAGAACATGGACACAAAGGAAAAACAGAACAAACTGCATTCAATGCACAACTCCTGCATGCTTATTTCAAACATACTTGCAGGTTTTGAAATGTGAACTTGAGACAACAGTACATCATTTTCAAGACAATTATAGAAATATCAAGAATATCAACATTATAAAATATCATGCTGAACTAATACATTTGTACAATTCTAATACTGTAACAACTAAGTTAAACTGTCCACAACGGACGACTTCTGCTTTTGTAATTGTTTAAAAAAATCACATAATATTACCATTGTCAGTTTCGCAAAAAGGACTATGATTCAGTACAACATACATATGCAGTTTGTCTCCCTGTTTACTAACAGCTTTAGGAAAAGATGAAAAATGAAATATTCATGAACATAAGCAACATTCATGTCAAATTGGTCATAATTTCCTACGTTCACAATTCCTAGCCAAATAACAATGTACTACATCTACAGAGTCAATACTAATTTGTGCAGAGAGAGGCCACATACAGTTGAGAAATCAACTTCTATGAAGGTAATGAAGAACAGTGTAAATTGTTACAAAAGAATACAGAGAAAATTCTGGAAGGTTTAAAAATATTTGCATAATGGGCTAAACTACATTTTCAATTTCTTTTAAATTTTCTCCTTTAAGAACAAAAGGTGCAAAGAAGGATGCCAATGAATGCAAAGAGGCCATATGGTCCTCCTCCTCACCAAAACATACTGTTAGCCCTCCAAACACACAAAGTATCTCTTTGTTTTGAATATTCCGAACTGAAGGTTTTCCTCATCTTTTGTTTGTACAAAATCATTAAGAGAACTGAAACAAAAACAAGAAACTAGCATTTTAAGAGAGATTAATATGGACAACTAAGTACTTTTCGTATAAAATAGATCATTAATTTTATTTTTGTAGTTAAAAATCCTGCAACAATATGATGCTACATGCTGCTCTCAACACTGTAATTTAAAAATACATTAAGTAGCTGAAAAATAAATAAATCTGTGAGATTTAAAAAAGGTAACTTAAAAAAAAAAAAAAGCATGAACATCATCTAGCATTCTGTAATGGGTTTCAGAAGTACCTTAACCAGACATACGCATTTGTATTCTGCACACTACCAACCAAGCCCAAAGAGAACTCTTGTAAACAAAATGCCTGCCTGTTTTGATCACCAGCAGAATTAAAAGCAACTTTGTATAGTTTTGTGAACACTCAGTTGTATACCTGAACAAAAGATTGAATATATATTATGTTGAAGTAGGATGAAGCAGGAAAGGACACTGATAACACCCAACCTCAACCTTAGATTTACAAAGGTGTGAGATGAATCAAGCTACTCAAGCACTGAAATAGCCTTCCTCTATTATACACAGTAATCATAAGGTGCCAAGTAGCAGTAGGAGAGGCAGCCTTCTACTGAGCATCACAGCTAGTAACTGACAACAAATGTGACGCATGAATCCGAATCATAAGTGTCCGCAGCTAAGCTGAGGAAAGGAGCAGGCTTTCCTACTGCTGAATTACATTGCTGGGAGGTTTTTATTTTCTCTGTTTAAAGGACAGGACTTCAATAATCCATACATATTTTAGCGATGCCTTAACTTTTACACTGCTTTATGACAAGAAGTTCAGAATACAGTAGCAGAAATTAACTGAAAGTAAATCTATTGAATAGAAGTAAACAAAAAATCAGCACAGGAAAAAACAAAAACAGCAACAAAAACGATCAAAATCTTTAGAGATTGCTCCTTCATTTAAAAGAAAACAGAAGAAATTGTTTGAATTAACAAGGCAGAATACTTGAACATATCACTGGGAAAATTTCAAGTCTATCAAATCTGCTAGTCTATCACATTAACTTTGGTTCCCAGTATACTATCAAGTCCCACATTTACAGTTATACCATTTAGTATTTCATTTGTTTTAAAAATGATGTATATATAAACTGTATTGACTTACAGTGTCACGCTATAAATAAGTTTCATTCTTTTGTTAATTAATTTACCAGACTATTCTATGGAAGTTTCAATGCTTTGAAAACTGAATTTCTGCTAATAAACACTTTAATTATGAAGGAGGGAAATATTTAAATAATTAATAATAACCTCCAAGTAATGGAAACATAAGGGCTGTTGCCTCCTCTGTCAACACAGCAGGCAATTAGTAAGGTTGATAAAGTGGAAAGAGTGGAAATGGTATACATTTCCTCATTTATCCACAGCAAATAGAATAGCAAGCTTCCTCACTTAGGGCTTATGCACTTGCTTCTGTAAGCAATTTATAATTAACACTGCAAGACAAAATGCTGTTGTTTCTGAATCTTTACAACCTACTTACCACAGACTACATTAGAAATGTCTTTTGGCCCTTGTAGTGGTCATCATGTAGACTAAAACTGCCATGAACATCTCTTTGACAAATTATTTGAGTGCAACAGTCATAACTATTTCAAACTGCAAACATATTTAAACCATTTTACTACCAATCGTAACAGCTCATACCTCCTGTAGCAATTTATCTAATTTCTGCTGTAATTCAAGGAAGTATCGAGACGTGATGAGGCCCTGGTGGGATTTATCCAAACAATCTCGAGCCAGTTCTGTGATCTGATGGTGGGTAAAACTGAGTACACCATCTGCCAGCGGAAGGACGTTTTCTGGAGAATGATTTGTTATAACGTCCTGAAGCCTCTCTTCCATCTGGGCTGTGGCCTATATACAAATGTACACACAATATATTACATCAGCTTCACAACTTCAACAATTACTCCTGGTTTTACAACATTTCTGCAGTACCTAAGAAGTTGCCTATGTTTATTACACAAAACGACTCAAGAAAAAAGCAAGGAAATAGACAAGAGTGACAGACTACATACCCCCCAATTACCAGTACAGAGAAATGAAAGTCTTAGTATTCCATTATATAGACCCCAGTTTTGTCTGCCCCCAGCAATAAACAGTGATCTTATGATGCTCACTCACCAACATAATTAAAATACACTCATGACTGTAAAACTAAGTTCAAGGCAAAATAAAAGCAAGGAGAACTTATGGAGGTCTTCATATGTTTTGCTAAAACTGCAAATGCTACACACCAGATTATCTTCCTTCCTTTTGTACAGGTTACACCACAAACACACTTTAACAGAGTGGGTTTGAAAGTCACTTTAACTGACTAAAAAAACCCAAAGGCTCATAGTTACTGGAAGACGTTTGCTGCACGCATGATATGCCTGCTTTATAGAATCAACTGTCTTGTTTCACACTTATAGCAGATTATAAAAATATACTGGCGATAACTACAGTATTGTCCTTACTAAAAATAATCTCACTCCTTTTAATTCATAACTGATCCACTGAAATGAGAGGCTCATTTCAAACCGGTGTCTGCTGCTCAAGCTCTCTACAAATATCTTCATAATTTTCTACAAATAAAAACATAAATATTACATACATTTAATAAAAATAAATTTATAAATATAAAGAAATATGAAGATTTCCTATAGTTACTACTTTTAGGCGCTATGGGGAACTGCATCAGTTTCACTTGTATTTTATTTTCCAGAAATCATATAAATTCTAGGATCAACTAACAGTACAGTGCTCCTAGCAACATGTGGCACAGAGGAACTCATTTTTGTCTCAGATTTCTGGACAAGCCAGAAACATTTCCTGAGTTGCTTTCTCAGAACCAAACTCATGACAACTTCATGCTGGTCTTTACCACTGAAAAAAAGCATATAAGACAACTGTCCAGGAAAAGAGAGAAATATGGAACAGCAGTTAGCAGGTTTATCAACAGATTCTGCAGAAGACTGAGCAACCAAAATTGTTTTTGTTTACTAAATCAATATAAGCTAACTCCAAGTATATACCACCCATTGAAAGTGGATGCTATTGTTTCTTTCCAATCAGCAGAATATATTACCAGCATGATTAATTTCAAAACCAGTTCAGCAGCTCGTCAAATGAATGTCCAGTTCTCAGCAGGGATTTTCTTTATTGTGATCTTATCTTTGTAATAAGAACTTGGTGATGCTTTGTGAAAGCCATTACAGGCTTGGATCATTAGTTTCCATAACAAAAACATAATTTACTTAAAACCTATGTTGCCTATTGATTTAGATACTGTGTATCTTAAATATAATTTATTACCTTTGGGAACCTTTCTTTGTAGACATGGTTCATCATAATGATCTCATTGTCACAGCAGGCAGGAGAACGTCCAGGACTGCAAACAAAGCAAATTATTTCTTTATACTTGTCTCAGCGCTAGCTATAATTAGCAGTTATTTTTTTGAACAGCTCATTTGCACCAAGAAGTCAACAAACACTTTACTAAACAGGTATAATCTCTAATCAGTGGCATGCTTTGCTCTTTTCTGTTATTTCTGACCAGGCCTTAAAAATTACATCGTATGTTTGACATCTGACTGCCAAACATGCTATTTTCTTAGTTTTTAACTGCAGTTCAGCATGTCTTGCAACACGACATTACGTTTTTTTTTTCAGAAGGATGAGACATCCACTTAACAGATGATTATATGTATGACTACATCTGCCCTTCTGAAGGTTATATACAACCAAAATAGCAAAACCTGACCAAGAACTCCACTAGCTGCAAGTGAAGACATTCAGCAGTCCGTGAGGAGTTCATATACATACACATTTACCCACATGTAAATACGTATTTTTAAACTGATCATGAAAAAGGTCGAAACTATTATTTCCAATCTAACCGGCAGGTAAAAGCTGTCACTTCTGCAAGTAATGCTGTAACATGCACAAGTTCCATGCCACAAACACCGTGCCTGGAAAAAAAAATAAAAGCGTGAAACTTGCAGGAAAACTATCTATAAAACGTACCCATGGCCTTGGCTAACCTAGCAAACTTCCTTTTCACTATCATAAACCTCATTTTTTAAAATGTCCGTCTGACTTTGAAGACACCAGTGCACCCAAATATGGTGTAAAAGATGTAAAATAAATCCCAAGAAGGCAATGTCCTCCTCTAGGAGTGTCTTCATCTTAACATGTACATAGAAGTTTCTTGAAATGCATTTCTTATATAAGCAAAAGAAATGGCTTTCAGCTCTCTAGAAGAGCAAAAAAGAACCATAAAAAATATGATCCTCAATGAAATACACCTCACACAAATGTCACTGCAAAGGAAATTCTAAAGGTCAATTCTGGGAAACAAGAAACTGAAGTTTATTTTTATTAAAGAAAACTAATGAATTAATGAATGGTTCCACCCCAACTTCTTGCCCATTTATTCTTCACCACAGTTCTTTTCAGGCACTTCTAGAATATAAATGCATTTCAAATTACTTAAAAAAAAAAAAAAAAAGACAATATTATTTACACAATTTGAACTCTAGAAGTCTCTAGATCAGTAAGGCATAGCTCATTAGAAGGGGTTAAGTTGCCACATTTATGCCTTATCTTACACTGCTGAACATAGGAACAAAAACTTAAAAAGGGTTAGTAACAGTTCAAGCACAGATTCTTACCTCTTGTATTCATCAATTAGGAAAATAATGAATGCTCCCAATACACAAAACCACAATGTTCTAGAGTACGTCAATTAAAACTCAACCCCTTTCACCTGATGGACAAACCCACCTGAGACTTCTGGAGCGAGGGCGCATTGCTGTGGTCCTGCATCTGTTATCACTTGCAATGCTTTCAGTGGTACAGAAATGTTTAGATAAAAAATGTAGTTCATCAGGTGTTGGTTGGTAAGGTAACTGGTGTAGTTTCTCTTGTGATGAACAAGATGACTGGAAAAGAAAAGCAAAACGCAAACATCTATCAGTGAAGAAGCATTTTCAACATCATATTCTCTGCTTGTGAATGAAGTTGTTTGATATAAAAATTACATTTATGTTTCCTATGCTTAACTACTAAACTAAAGAAGAACAAAAATAATTAGTCTCAATTTACAGAGCTAAACAAAGTTTAAATACAAAAACTACTGTCTCAGAAGAATGAATCATCGCATTTTGGAAGTTCATATTTTGTCTTTCTAAGGCACAGACATCTGGTGTCAGTAATACACAACAGTATGTAGAGAATATTTTAAATGGAGTCTGCTGAAAGTTAATTACTTGAGTAAGGCAAAACAAGTATGTTAGCTGTAGAGTACAACTTATTGCCAATACAAATTTCAATTCTGTACATGTAAATTATTTCATTATGGACAATCAAGATTATCAAAGTTTGGAGAAAAACAGTCTAAATTCTTGCTGAAAAAATTAATGTGCCATAATCCGGACTGATTTCTGTAGATGCTCTACTGTTTCTGGTACCGAACATGGTTTCTAACATGGACCAGTTCATGGATATCTGCACATCATCATAGAATTGTCTGAGTAGGAAGAGACCCTTAAAGTCATCTAGTTAAACTCCCCTGCAATGAACAGAGAAACCTACAACTACATCAGGTTGCTCAGAGTCCCATCCAGTCTGATCTCGAATGGCTTCAGGGACAGGGCATCCACCACCTTTCTGAGCAACCAGTTCCAGTGCCTCACCGCTATAAAAAACTTACTGCTTATATCCAGATTAAATCTCCCCCGCCCCCCCCCCCCCTTTTTTTTTTTTTTAACTATTTCCACTTGTCCCACCACTACAGACCCCACTGAAGAGTCCATCCCCTTATTTCTTATCGCTCCCCTTTAGATACTGAAAGGCTGCTATCAGATCTCCCCAGAGCCTTCTCTTCTCCAGGCTGAACAGTCCCTTATCTCTTAGACTGTCCTCACAGGGGAGGCATTCTATCTCTTGGATCATTTTGTGGCCCTCTTCTGAACACAATCCAACAGGTCCACGTCTCTCCTGGACGCAGGACAACAGATGAGGTCTGCAAGAGCAGAAGGACAGGATCAGCTCCCTCAACCTGCTGGCCATGCCCGTTTTGATGCAGGCCAGGATCTGGTTGGCTTTTGGAGCTGTGAGAGCACATTGCTGGTTCACATCCAGCTCACTATCCACCAATATCCCCAAGTCCTTCTTGGCAGGGCTGTGCTCCACCCTTTCATCCTCCAGCTTGTATTGATAGTGAGGGCTGCCATGATCCAGGTGCAAAACTTGGCACTTGGCCTTAATGAACCCCATGATGTTCACCTGGGCCCACATGACAGGCTTAACCAGTCTAGGTCTCTCTGGATGTCATCCTTTCCCTCATGTGTGCTGCACCACTCAGTATGATGTCATCCACAAACCTGCCAAGGGTGCATTCTATATCCCTGCTGATGTGACTGTGACACTAGAAAGCTGTCTGTTATCATGTAGACATTACTTTTATTTTAACTGTGGAGGGGATAAATTCCAAAAACTTCAATTTCTTTCTGTAACTTGTCAGTCCCCGGATGGCTTTTTCAGCATAAGATTCTTCTCTACGCCCATCTTCTCATGCAAACTATTGTTCTTATCTTTCTTCACGTATAAGACACCGGGACTCTTCCCTGGTTGCTTTTTTACTGAAGGCCTACACAGGGGCCTTTGCATTTGTAGCAAAGGGCATCTTTGCTCTCCCATTCAAAGTGAAAGAAGTCAATAAACTTCCATACTGTACTGACATTTCCATGCATTACTAACGTCAGCAGGTAATATCCAGGCTGTTAATCAAAGGAACAAGACAGTCTTTATAATTACCTGGTAATCTGAACGGTGAAAGCTGAACAAATCCTAATTCTAAGAACTAAAGAAAAGCTTATTTATCGCACTAGATCACATGAAGTCATCTCTTGAAAGAAAAAAGAAAAAAAAAAAACTGATGGGAAAAGTTCTCTCTCATAAAACTAGTGTATATAGGAAAGCTTCATCACATGAGAACAAATTAAAGATAGCAAGACCCCATTATCTTGCTTTGTTGCAGGCTAAAAAGAGTGTAAACCAAGAATTTACCACAGTTTACTTGATAGGGAGTAACCTGTCGAGCCACAGTAACTCAATTATGAACTTCAGCAGTAGCACATTTCTATGCATAATTCAGTACACAGTACAGACTACTCTCTTTCATATCTCACACTGTAGCAGCTAGCTGCAATTAACCATGATTAATTCTAGAGCCACCTCATTAACTTAAAAGAACAATGACGTTTCCCAATACAGACTGTCACATATACCTATTTCTAAAAAAATAAATATCCTTTGCATTTCAGGGGATTCTAGGCACATCAAAAAAGCAATAATCTACTTCATGTTTTTCCACATATAAGATGACAGGCCTTTTCTTAAGGACTTCCAGCTACACCAGAACCATGCATCAGAGTGCATTTTCTTGGAGGTCTGAATTCTGACCTCTGCACAGATCAGAGTTCTCATAGCAGAATTCTACAAAGAAAAAAAAATAGCCATTCTGGCATTCTAGAATAGTTCATTCAATCAAAAATTACATAGGATTTAACATATTTATTATGAGTGCATCACTACAAGGTAGACGGTTCTTCAAATACAGAAATAAAGATCTGTAGCCAGTATCAGCTAATGTAACTGCAAAGATTTCCTTCCCAACCTTCATATCTATCTTCCCATCCAAATAGTTTACAAAGAATAGGTACTGGAAAAAAAAAAAAAAAAAAAAGTAACCAATTCTTTTTCACATTTTTTACTTCCTATGGGCCTCTTCTCCTAAAAGATACACAATCATCTTAACAGCATGATTTAACTGGAAAGATCAGATTAAACGTTGTTTCTTAGAATACAACACACCAGTAGTTTATTTTCAATTCAACAATGCTAGCAGGAGACATTTTCATTTGCTTTCTGCATTGCTTTTGGATCTGCAGCACGAAACCCCTGAAATTCCATTACACTGTTAATTCCACATCCAATACAACAAACAAACAAAAAACAAAACAAAACAAAACCACACCACCAGATCACAAAAATGGGGCAACAGGAGGTGGGGTGCAGCATACTCATGGTAGGGTTACTATCAGCTCTTCTGACCCTGCTTTGACTTTCAGTCAAAGTGAAAAGATCCAAGTTGTGCTCTACTGTGTTATGCAAAAGCTACTTCTGGTTTCCAGTTAATAAATCTCTGGATTAATTAAGGTGTATCTTATTCGTCCTGCATTGAAAACTCAGCACTCTGTATGTATACTTAAGACTACCACTTATGATCTGTCACTGTCTTTATGAATCTGGAAAAATACAGAGAGGAAGGCTGCACAGTGCTAGCCACTTCAGATTCTGAAAGCATAGGTGACATTACTTAGATGAAGAGTTTTCATTTTTCAAATGAAGTACATCAGCCAGTGTGCAAAAAACATGAAAAACTCTTCCAGTAAGTAGCAAAGAAATGGTGACTACATCTAAAATTAAAATTTGAAGTTGCCTCAATACTTTTGCAGAGTTCATCAACAGGCGAGGACTCTTGAAAGAAAAAACAAAAAAAAAAACTCCACGAAGGAAAAGAAACATGGGGCATCAACTCTACACTGTCGCTTTCTTCAACAAAATTTAATCTTCCTAGAAAACAGATTCACAAGTTAGAATGTCTGTTCAATGATATAAATCTATTTTAGTATTTATAAGATGTGGTTGTGTCAAAGAATATCAAGGCAGAACTCAAAAATAGTATCACAAAAGTTGAGATACATTAACTACGCAAATGACAGTGCTGCTTTTTTCCAGAATAAATGCAAATGTGATGTAAAAACTGTTTTGTGTTCCAGCACATCCATAAACTTAAAATGGAGTAACGAAAGAAACAAAACACTGTAAACTACAATTCTAAAATGGAAGCTATCAAAGAAAAAAGCTATGCCTGTGGATGGAAAATTAGAACTGTGTTTTAAAACATTCCTGATACAGCTTTTTATTTCTTCTCTAGCACGTCTCTCACTTCTAACAACGATGAGGTTACTAAAGCAACTTATTATCTGACAAGCTCCTTTACATCAATATATTTCAAGTGAATAGCACAGCATATCTGTGCTGGTGTCAAGACGAGGTGCATGACTGTGCACCATGGAAAGTGGTCAGAGACGATGTGAAACAAAGCATTTACTTGGCAGAGACTTGATCTAGGTCAGAGGTCGAAAATGAGTGCTGCTGAGAAGCAGTTCAAAATATACAAAGGCTGCTCCAAAAGTAATGCCTCATATCTTATTATGTTAGCCCACAACATTGGAGACGTCTAATTATAGTGATATGGCAGTAGAGATAGCATCTTCCCACCAATGCTCCACTTTATTTCATTGCTGTGTGACAAACAGCAGTGGAGACACAGTTTGACAGAACAGCATCTGAGATGGAAGAATGCATTAAACAAGGATGTGTCACTGTATGAGAAAATAATTGCACCCACTGTCATTCACTGACTTGCTGAATATTTATGGAGACCAACCAGTGGATGTAACCACTGTGAGGCAGTGGGTGGTACACTTCAGCAAAGGTGACAGTGATAGTGGATGACTTCTACTGGTGTCTATTCTTACAAGGGACATGCAGGATCTTGTTCATTTCTGGTGAAAATGCACAGCTCATGGTGCTGATTGTATTGAAAAATGTTTTGTAGATGAGAATTTGCTCTGATAGTCTTATAATGCTCTTTGTATCTGTTGTAGTTTCTATGAAAATAAATACGGAAGCATTACTTTCAGAGTGCCCTGTGTACATAAAATCCTCCCAACATTTTTTTTTAAGTTAGTAAGGAATAGAATTGATCCCACTTTCCAAGAGCTTTTATGGATGAAGATAAAGAGTTGACCATGGTGCAAAATGGTCAACTTTAATCAGTGCTCAGGATGTGAAATTCCACTACTTCACAATAGAAGTAAAATATACCCAGGAGAAGAGGTTACTTAAATTCTAAAATAAACATTAAAAAAAAAAACCAAAAACAGACACCGCGTGTCCAGTAAAAAACAGACAACAACAAACAGGAAAAGAAATGACACATGAAGTCTTACACTGCCTTTTCCTAAAACAAATAACCACTACTTAATTTAAGAATATAGGGCATGTAATGAAAATCTATCTGCATAGCAAAGTGGATACTCACAGAAACAGTTGAGCTGGGTGTATTTGTACCATAGCCAGAAGAAGGGAGGGAAGCCAAAGACCAGCGACGACCATCAGTCCTGTTGTGAAAACTGAGTTTAGTCAAATGAACACTGCAGCATGTAGAAACATCTATGAAGTGTTATCGTGAAAAACTGCATTCCAAAAGCATGTTGCAGACAAGTTTTTTAATAGAAAGTAAACATTCACAAGGGACCACAATAAACAAGCTTTCAGCAAAGATGATTGAGGTTTATGGACTTCCTAAAGCTTTTTTCTAGACCAAATTTATGAGATTAAACAATTAGAAAGTGAATGAATAGATCCACAGAAATGATCCCTCACTAATGTGCATAAAAACTGAACATGGAGTCTTCATAACTTTCAGGTTCATCAAATGAAAATGAATGAGAAGCAAATTAAAAACCTGTGAACAAATGCAAGTCATGATGCTCTGAACCAGAAAATAACCAGAAGACTGCTTTAAGTGTAAGGGTAACAGTTTCTTACATGACATCAGTGGAGGACAACAGTAAACTAACAAGCTAATCTAAAATAACTAGGAAATAATGATTTGGTAAACACTTAAATTTGTGCAAAGTTGTAGATCAGTAAAAAGAAATGCCTCAGAAAAAATCATGCTTAATCAGATTAAATAAAAATTGCATCTAGTGTCAATTCTACTCTTCACAGCTTCAGATGAGCTACACATAGAAAAGATGGAGCTTAAACAATCAAAGAGACAAACCAAAAAGCAACGACGAAGTCGATGTTTTGATTTCTAAGGAGGTATCATTTACCTGTCATTTCGGTGCCCATGACTGGAGTACAATTGTTATCAAATACGTTAAAATAAAAAAAAAAAAGGAAAATAATACATACATAAACAAGAAAATAAAATTATTTTTATTAATACACAAGATGATGGCAGAGTTGAGAGAAAAATCAAAGTTCTGTTTTACAGCCAGCACAAAGATCACCTTTCAAGTCCAATCTGCACAAAAAATACAACTACATAAAGGAGAACTTAAGTCACAGCAAATCTGGCGCCCTGAATCTCTTGGGGGAACTTTCCTATCCTTTGAGGTAATCTTTTCCCTTTCCATTCTAGCAGTTTGTTTCCTACTCCCATTTATTTACAAGCTATAACAGAGTACATGTAAATACGTCAAGAACTGCATCTGAAATGCTGTCTATTACAAATTAGAACATATCTTAATGCTATTAATTATGAAAAGAGAACATGTAGTAGAAGGACAAGAGTGAGTTTTGGACAAATACTTAGCACAGAATCATATAATCACTAAGGTTGTTGGAAAAGACCTCAAAGATGATATAGTCCAACTGTTTTGCTTTTATTTCGTTAATTCCTCACTCCTTCCCGAAAAGAAATCACCAATATCCAGCCCACTCTACAAAAAGAGCTTTCTCTTCATTTTGGCTCAGCTGCACAACTTAGGTATGCTCACAGTTGAAAGAGAAACAAAAGGTGATTTAAATTGGCTTAGACCTATATATTCCACAGCAGTGAGATAGAAAATACAGTCAATGAATTATCTATACTGAACAGGATTCCTGCATCATACAGCAATTCCCACTCATAAAAGCCTTTGAAGAGGGGCAAGGTTATCACAGAAAACATCCCAGAAGCAGAGGAGAGAAAATAGGAAGCATCCAATCAGGAAGAAAGGAGAAAAGCTTAGTAAGTACCTACAGCATTTTCCCTGGACCCTGACATACTGTTTGTCACTGGACCACAGTACAGATCTACCTCTCCAGAACCTCTAGAAAGCAGTATCTGCCAGCTACCCACGGGATCACAGACACTGGACTTTTACGTAGTGGCAGACTGGAGAAGCACAGTCTATTCCTTTTGTGTCACAGCATCAAATCTGGGCAGAGGAAGTTGACACTTGTGCTTGCTGCAGACGGGCCTGAGACACACAGGTTATGTGGAAATAACCATAATACATACACCAACTTGATAAACTTTTTTATCTACACTTTCAAATGTAGTGTTAACAAACATTTGTGCTATGAACACTGAAGAAAGTTAGTTTTCATGGAAAGTGCTAAAAAGAAGTTTCTTTGAATCCCAGCATAAGGGTTAAATATTTTAAAATAACAGAAAGTTCTTGTGTTAATCACATAAGAGAAAGACTTAAAACTCATCATTTGGAAATTAACGGACTTTCAATGCTCTAAGAATGGTTAAAATCAGCTGAAATACTGATAAGACAAATTCATTTTTCTCCTTGAATTTTAAGGTTCAGAGGAACAGGATGATTTGAATTTTTTTTTATTATGGGTGGGAAAGGAAAAGTACTTCCTGCCTGCTGTTTTTCTAAATAATGTTGTCTTTCACATCTGCTTTTTCCATTATAAGCTATTTAAGGATTTAACTAATCTTCCTGAAAATACGTTCACAAACAAAAAATCTATGAAGATGTATCTTTCCTTTTACAATAAAGATATTATCAAGAGGAAATAAATTCCAAAGAAATATTTTTTAAGGTGTTGATTTAAAAAATGGCATCATGCAGTATCAGAAAGACTGGTAGAATCTACTACTGTTTCAGATATGAATAAAAAGAATAAGTGTGTGAAGCTTTCTCCCCTATGCAGCATATAAGTAGAGATCACACACTTCTTCGTGTGCATTTTTATGAGCTGTTGTGTGAGCAACTTCAATGAATGCCTAAAAGAAAGGAAGTAAAGTTATAGCAGTGTTATCTTACTGCGAATACAACAGTTATATACCTGACATTAATGACAAAGAATGCCACTGCACTCCTATTTCATTTTTTTGTGTCTATATTCTTGGGTCAACATACAAACTTTACGTACTCTCCCAGGCTTAGAGTTAATGAATATATTATTTAAGGTAAGTTGACAAGGTATTAAGTGATATGGAACCACAATGGCACAAATAGGCAGTCTCCCATGACACACAATCAATTTAGTTTATGGTTCATTTAATAGTAATTTACCTCATAGACTACTTCAAATTCACTTTATATGATCAAAAATTCTAACATTAATTAACCCTCAGAATGCCCCTATGACAGAACTGTCTGTCTCAGTTGTCCAGATAGTGAAAAAGATCAAGGTCAGATGTAATATCTGGTGACAATCCAGCTGTTACCTGCAAAGCGCAGCTCTATATACAGGCACTTCTACTCCATCTTCTCTATGACAGGATTCTTGCATGCTATGCACTTCTTACATTGTTAAAAATGAGTTTAAAAAAATAGATATATGCTACAACTTCTCCAAATTCCAATAGATGAGGAGATAACATCTGCATTTCCATATAGCCCGAATAAGATTCATTTAAAAGTCATTAACAAAACATCTTTTTTTGAATTAAAAAAGGTATAAAGGCACTGTATCAATCATCCAACCAAGTTTTGCTGCAACTGAGGTTTAAAGGAGTTTGTATAACAGAGACAGATATAATTCTTTGTGATAGATTTGACAGATATAACAGCGTATTTGCAATCACCATTTGATATCTGAGTCCAACAACATTTCCTTTCTGCAGAACGCACACAGCATGCTACAGACAAACGCTTACCTTCTTGCAAAAGAGAAGTGGGCTGAGGCACTGGGAGAGAAATTCCTAGGACTGTCTTGAGGACTGTTTCCTGTTGGAAGGGCAAATGAAGAAATAAATACTAGGGAATAGTAAACATCAGGAAAATTCAAACATGCTACTTAAATCACTTTTAGTCAAGTTAAAAGCTAATTTTTGAGTTTCTCCTCTTACAGTCTCACAAACTAACGTAGAATCTTAATTCTATTTTTTTACTCCTACTTATATAAACCTATGTATCTCTATTCAATTTTAGAGAGTTTCAAAAAATGCTATTTTAGCTTGAAAAAAGTATTCTCAAACTCAGAAACACAGCATTTCTAATCATACACTTGAAAGAAAGAAAAATCAAGATTAGCATGATTTAGCCCTTAGACAAAGTCTCTATAGCATTTTCAAAGTTTTATTTTGCATTGTTCAGGCTTTTTCCTAGCTCCTATCCCCAAACAAGGAGGGAGAACACATTTAATGATCTTTTCTCCATTATTTGTTAAACCAAAAAATAAAAAGTTGAGCATCCTGTGAGATGGGTGATTCGCACAATCTGAGCATGTTACAATTTAGGGATAGTTATTTCTCCCTATGTGAATACTTAATCTCCTGACCAATGAAAGTGCAGAAAGAAGACAGGCAGTGAGAGGCAGTTGGCTCTTCAACATATATAGCTAGAGTAAACACAGTATAGAGAAAATGTGATAAAAGTGATACCTGAAAAGACCTAAAAAACCCCACTAACCTTCAAGAGTTAAAAATATTTGTTTTAAAGTAGCACCCACATACATCTAAAACCTGTCCTTCCTTAAATAATGAACAGATTGCAAAATCAATACATTAAGATCATGAATTTAATTTTTACATAAATGGGACTACAACATCAAACAAAATATAAAGAAGCTTCTACATGTGGAAAACCTAGTAAATAGTCAGTTCCTGAAATACTTCAAGTGACTTTGATTTCTACTCAAATTTTTGAACAAAAATTGCATTTTTCAGAGTGATATCCTTAAACATTCCATGACAAAGAACCACGAGGTAGTAAACAGAGTCCGTCTCCCTCTTTTATCAGAAGCAGATGAAAGATTCGTTTTCAGCTCTGCTTAAAATCATGCCCTTCCATCTGTTCTTTCCACAGCCCCAAGAGACAAGGATTCCACTTTCGCTGGCCCGTACCCCAGACTGCTTTTTGTCCATTTATTTATCACAGCTGAGCTAGGCCCTTTCAACTTTACCTCCTCCCTCTCAAGACTTTTTCATTACTCTTCAGACACTTCTGAGGGCCTAGATAATTTTGAGGTGGCAAGGATTTTTGTTCCCTTAAGGATGGAAGGGAAGAATGAAGGGAATCTACACATGTGGCACAGATTTTAATCTTTACTTGGGGTCCACCACAATTTATTCTTGTCCTGCATGAACTGCAAACACCAAATTACTGACAATAACAGCTCATTTAATTTAACAGCTAACTGGATTTCTTTTGCTGCTTAATAAAGGTAAGATAGGCTAAAAAATTTAAAACTGTGCAGATAAAATATTGTCACAAACTCCAGCTACTGCACTGGAAATAACTAACTGTAATTGGGAGTTCTGCGTGAGCTTAGACATGAGGGGGGAAAAAAAATACAAAAAAAAGCTACCTTAAACTCTGGCGAAGAAGAATCAAATTAGGTGATGGGACAGAAACAGCTTTTGACAGAAGATTATCTGACAAACCATCAGAGGGAGGGTTTTTTAAATTTGTTTCTGGTGACATCTATTTTTAAGTTTTACAGGGTTATACTTTCTTATCACACATCACCAATTTGCCTAACAGCTAGTTAGGCAAACTAAACATTTACTTTGAGCACAGCATTCACAATAGAGCAAAAAACATTGAAGATGCAGAAATATTATAACTACAATGCAGGGTTCAAGGGGACACATTCTGGTCTCACTACCTCACTAAAAGCAATAAAAGCTCTTCCTCTCAGAGAAAACGCAACATCTATGTCTTATTCTCAAAGAAAAATCTGGATGCAAGCACAATTTCCAAATGCAAATCAGCTTTTAAAACAACAAAATTGGCAAAGCTATATACATAATACTTTGATACTAAACCCTGTGTTTTTATTTAGATGTCTGAGAATCCACACAAGCCTGGAAATAGAATGAAAAATCCGAACCTCAAACAATGGAGGCAACAACTGGTGCTATTAAGGGTGTAAGGTGTGGTGTTCCAGAAAAACAAGAAAGGTTAGAAACAGTCCTATACGTGACCTTCATCCATCATGGCATTCATCCACCCCCAAGTCCATCTGCATGTCAATACCTGGGAGACTTTCAAATAAAAGCCAGTGCCAGTTAATTCTCTGCCCATATGTGCAGTGCTTACTTATTAGTCAAATCCCGTTGTTCTTTGGGATCTGCTGGCTACTGTATGTTTTAGTCCTAGGATATTTCCATGCTGCCGAGTTTATTGTTGATGTTCCCGACAGGATGAAGTAAACTTGACTGGTGTTCAGGCACTAGGTAACTAATTAACTCCAGATCCTCTGGGAGAAGTAACACAATGAATAGGCAATCAGCATATCAAAACAATACTTTTAACTTACGACAATACGTGGGGTGCCTCATTCTGCAATCAGCTATTCTTAAGAACACTATACATAAATTAATTGAATTGTTCAATTGTTTTGTCATTAGTCAATAAGCCCTGTGCCTTTACCACAGAGGGAAGATTATTAAATCTTTTTAAAAGGCATGTTACATTGATGTATTTTTAATAGCAGCCTACTTAGAAAACAAAGACATTCTGATACAAGCACTTTGTTAGTACTGAATGAATAACAGATTAACAATAACTGGAATCATAAATTCCCAACTACTCAAAGACAGTTCAAGTTTGAAGTCTTGGTGTCATTATCTGGTAGTCTTTTGAAATGAATTACAGCACAGCAGCACAATGTAACAAGAGGTCATGCTCCTCTATGTCTGTTTACTTGGTGGTGAATGCACACTGTGAAGTGAACAGTACACAAGAAAACACCAATAGTCACAGATCTGAATTTCACATTCCAAGAAACTGTCAGTCAGCAACATACAGAGCTGGGCAGCAGAATCATTCTGAATATTTCTGCAGGTGTTTCCACTGAGATCTGCACAGAGGAAAGGGTCTTGTGCTATTTCAAAAACAATTAATTATGCCTCATGCCTCAGTTACAGAAAGGAAGGTTAGCAACCTCCTTAAATCCGTTTGCCAAGTCAAACTTCTCTACGCAGACTTTTTGCTGAATTGCCTTGTTGTGGTTTGCAGCTGGTTTGTTTTATCCTGGTTGTCACTGAAGACTCCTGGCTGGCTCAGTAGCATTGACTGCTTCCAGGAGAAACCAGCATTAGGCAGGCACAAAGAAGTAGGAAAGCTGTATCTATTATTTTACTTCCTCCAAGCTGGAATTAACACTGAAACATAGGCCCAGAAAAAAATCTGAAGTTTACGCTGATAAGACAGTACAATTCCTGCTTTCAGTATACTGGGAAACAGTAGAGACAAGAGGAAACCACAAATTACACTTACCGTGTTCTCAAGAAGAACACAGAGTTCTTTTCACAATCAGACCATTACTTACCTACTTAAAATACCAGCAGTGCTATGTCTTAATAGCACTTAACTTGAAATTTAGTTGAATTTACATGTTAACATACCATTCACTATTTCCTTCTAATCTCCAAACAGAGAAGGTGCTCTGGGACTGACAGCTCGCTCCAAAACAAGACTAGATAATATTAAGCTGAGTTTTAGCAGAACAGTTTCTATAGTTCTACATATGATAACAGTCAGAGTAACTGAAACACTGTTTTAATTCCCTTAAAAAAAAAAAAAAGATTAAAAACTTTAGCATTTAGCACTCCTGACTTTCATCACAAAAATAAAGGCTTTGCTCCCTTACATTCATTTACAAACCTAAGTCTTCCCCAAAACACAACCTCTACAGACTGCTATTTAAGCAGAACAGCACAGAAGTTGTGTAAGAGAGATCCTTCTCAGCCTCAAATACATCACAGTAAGGCCAGTACTTGTTATCACCTACTATGGACAGAAAAGACACATACGAAGGTAAACATCTAGGAAAATCCAGACCTTGAAAATCCTAGAAAGAGGACCACATGTACAGGTAAGAATTTGGGCCTTGAAATTTTGCTTTAGGCATAGATTTATTGAATCCCATAGGAAAGGTAGAGATTGTCACTGCCATACTTAGTGGAAGATTCTTCAGGAATCCTTACGTTCTGGGATACACTGTAATACACATCTCTCTTCCCATTCCCTGCAAAACACCTCTGACCAATTTAGATTACAGCACAGGTTCTTCAGTCCTCTATTTGCTAAGCCAATTAAGTAGCAGTCTGTTAGTCTTCCATGAGAAAGTCTCACATTCAGTCATACTAGCTTCTCTTTCTCCACGGTCCCACAACCATGACAACATGAAGCGTTCCAGGTAAAATTTAACCACAACATTGCTCAGTGGCCTGAAACCCTACCTGATTCAACTGAAAATTACTTGCTTTGCATAATCTTCTGAGATTTGATTTTGAAAGATACACTAGTTTCACCCTTGCAAATACCATCTGATTCCACTTCTCTAAATTCCTAAGTAGTAGATATTTCTTTTACTGGTCTTCCAGCACAAAAAGGCTGCATGTTATTATTTCAACCTCTTTACTATAAATCTCAAATAAATTCAGTCACCTCAATAGAGTTTCCCAAACCTCGTCTTGACTGGATGTTTTCTAACTTTACATCAACAAAGTAAGTTTTTTTTCCAATGTCCATTAGAAAAAGATTACCATTTGGCCAAAACCAAAACCTGAGGACTTTACTGGTAACCTTCGCAACTTTTCTGTAAGCCCTGCCAAAAAAGACTTGGGTATTAGTGGATGGTGAGCCGGATGTGTTCCAGCACAGCCCCAAAAGCCAACTTATCCTGGACACAAAAGACGTGCTGTCAGGAGGGAAAGGGAAGTGATTCTGCCCCTCTACTCTGTGCTGGTGAGACCTCACCTGGAGCACCGTGTCCA